CCCCCCCCCCCCCCCCCAAATAATTTTAGGTCAAAATTTATATTTTATCCTTAAGAAAATCTTTAATTCTGTGAAAAATAGGTTTTTTTCTCCAACAGGAAGATAATTCCATGAAAAATCTCATTGTTTCATTGCCCAGTTCCTAATTTTTAGTAGAACTAATCCTTATCTGGACCCTGGTTAGTTATTGCTAGGTTAGAAAAATCACAGTCTCTGTAATTACTGTGTGCCTGAGTCAAGCTGTGAGGCTGTGTCCTCTTTTTACTTGTTTTATCCTAACAATTAAAAAACATGAGGCTGCTTGAGATTACTTTTTTTTTCCCCTGTGGACTTTTTTCAACTTTACAGCCACTAGAAAGACTATAGCTAAAGAGCTATATTCTCTGAGAAGGCAGAACATTACTTTTTCCCTCAAGTGAGAGCACAGTCTGGTCCTCTTAACCAGTGTTGTCCCTGTTGTATTTGGTATCCATCAAAAAAAAAACAAATAAACAAAAGAATTACCTAATTTGTTCTGCACCACAAAAACAATCTGTTCAGAATAGAAGACATTTGTAATGCAAGAGTATGAAACCAGTACCACTGTGACGGGTCATCTCATTCACATCTGAGATATATTTGTTTCTGAACTGTTCTGTTCATTTAAAAAGTAATTTCCCATTAATCATGGTGTATTTCTAATAAATATTAAACTGTCTTTCAGGGCCTCCCAGGAATGGAAGGACCCAGAGGCAAGCATGGTTTGGATGGCTGCAATGGCTCAAGGGGAGACCCAGGATTTCCAGGAGAAAACGGTTATATGGGACCAAGAGGTCCTTATGTATGTGAAAGGCATTCCCACTGTGCACGTGCATTTTCCCTCCAAGCTCACAGCTCTTAAAATGACTCTTAGACTGTGGCATCAGTTTTGCAGTGCTGCACAGGGAATTCCCAGGAATTCTTACTCAGGTTAATGGGAGTGAAACACACTGCCTCAACAGATGAAGCTTGAATGTGAAATAAGCTCCTATATCATTGAAGTACATATATGGCTGCCTTGAGGGCTAAATTCTGACCTGTTTCCCCAGAATGTAGCCACACCTGCTGAGAAGGAGTGGCTTGAAACCATCATACCATTCATTAGTACTTGAAATTTCTTAAAGGCATTACTAGTAGGGACATAGATGAGATGACATAAAAGTAAGAGGAAGGTTCAACAAGTCCTGTTACACTCTAAGATTTGGTACCACTTTTTTACACTTCCGTGCTCTGTGCACTCCTAGTCTTGTCTGGGCATGGATTAGTATATGCAGAGATTGTTCCACAGTTAAAATGTTGGAAATTAGGACTTAAATATTTGTTTACTTTTTCTGTTAAAATGGAAGGCACTTTAAAATTATTTAAGTCTGTGTTAGCAGTACTCAACCACTGAAGAAAAAAAAGATTCTTATCATTAAGGGAAATAAATTACTGTAGCTCCAAAGAAATTTTGCTGAACAGTTCTAGTCACCAGTCTTTGACTTTTTATGGAAACAAGTTTTAGTTCTGAATGAATAAGAGCTGATTAGTTGGTCTAACAGCTTCCCTGAAAATTTCTAACACAATAAAAACAACTGCACTTTACATGAAAAATCAAATGTGTTTAGTGAGAGCTAAGTAAAACTCTGAATTCAGCCATTAGAAAAATATGGAGCAGGTGCAAGAGCGTAATGATGCTATCAAAGATAATAGCAATTAGAATAAAATACAGTTTCATGCTATGAAAGACACATCATAAACTTACTAATAACCTCATTTGTTATACCTCTGAAAGTAACTTGTTACTTCTGCTGAAACTCTTTATTTCACCTGTATTTTCTTACTTACTATGGCCTTCAAAATAGAATTTTACTCTTTGTAATTAGAGAAGTGACATAAAGGAAAAATGGGACATGAGACAAATTACGGCATAAATCCTACCAATTTCAAGAGCATGCTCTTTAGCAGGCCTAGAAAAGTATTTGCAGCCTACAAAAACAGGGAGACACAATAGGCATGTAGACATGGATATGCATGCTGAAATTCCATTGCAAATTCATTTAGCTAAATTTTATTTAACACTGTGTACATTTTTATGTGCTTTACTTCATCAGTCTTGTTGGAAAATAAAGTAACTTCTGTCTGTAAGGCCTTACCTAAGTCATATAGAAGATAAAAAACTGAATCTAACAAAGATGTTTTATTTTACAAGAGACCACATATAAAATAATTAAAGATAAATACAAATTTTGATTTGTTTAATGTGTTCACTAGCACTAGTTGTTTACCTGTAATCTGTATCCAATCTACTGTAGCTTTATCCAGCTGCAGACAGCTGTAATTCCTCCTTTTATTGTACCATTCCAGGGAGAAATACCTTCCCTGTTTAATTCTGACTGACCTTGTGATACAGGTGCACCAGAAAGTCACAGCCTGAGAAGTTATCATACAGTCTCCATGAAAATGTAGGATATCAGTAAGTGGGTCATGTTTTAAAAGATTCTTTTTCTTTAAAGGGAATTCCAGGGCAGAAAGGAGAAAAAGGAAATTCAGTGTATATTTCACATTTTGGAAAAGGACTTCCAGTAAGTATCAGATTGTGAAAAAAAATCATCCACTGTAGGAAAACATGTATGGTAAATGTAATTGCTCCATTACTCCTCACTAGTTAATAAAACTTAGTGAAAAAAAAAAAAAAAAAAGAAACTGAAACCACTTCTGCAATTCTAAAAGATAGTTTATGATCTTAATATCTGTAAAGTGAGAAAGTAAGCACAAGAAAGCTTGAACTGGTTCATTTGCTAAATGATTGTCATTACAGGGAGAGAGAGGTGATCCTGGACCCCCTGGCATGCCTGTAAGTACAGTCAGTGGGTTCTGTAATTGCTTTTTGTCTTGAAGATCTTCAATTTTTTCTCCTTAGTATGGTAAGAAATACCGGGGTTTCTCTGCCTGCCTTAAATAGCAAAATTCCAGAATAAAGTCTGAGAAACATCAAGTCTCTATAGTCTGTTCCCATGGCCAGTTCATGCTGGCTGAAAGGTAGTAGAAACAGACCATCCTCACCTGCATTAGCTGTGTGTGGAGCAGTTGTTGCCCTGGTACTCCAAAATATTTTCTCTCTGAAATTCAAGATGTGAAATCTTCTACAGTATCTGATGGATCTCCCAAGTAGCACTCTATCATATTCCAGCCATAAGAGCATGAAAGAAGGAGAGAATTTAATTTTGTTGCTGAATTACATTCTTGAGGGCTTTGGGTTCGTCTTGTTATACCCTTCATAAAGGTGATGAATTGTATCAAGTCCCTGCACCATAGCTCAATTGCTGAAAAAATGAACTCTCAGTACATAAATAACATAGATCTGTGCCTTGTCTGGTATTACCCAGAATCTGGTGCTGGGCTGCTCTAGTCACAGGGAGATTTCAGGCATGGTGTAAACTTTGGGCCATGGGTGGAATCCAGTGGCCGACAGTCTGAGTCCAAGGTGTTTTGGAGGGGCTGTTTGTGTGGAAAAGGGCAAGTTCTTTTCATGTTCATAAAAAGACCTTTTGCCATCTTTTCCAGGGACCTAGAGGGTCAAGAGGTACAACGGGCCCATCTGGATACCCAGGCCATCCAGGCTTGCCTGTAAGATCACCACAGTTATACAGCCTTGCCATAGGATATGTGTTCATTCTTGTCTACCTGTTTTAGAACTTGCCTTAATATGAATCAAAGTCTAAAAGTAGTTTTTGAGGCAGGTGATAAGTTAGACTTTTGCTTTACCTTACGAGTTTGGAAGCTGAGGAATATGTTGTTCCTTGCCATGTCTGCATGAACATGCTTCATCCTGGTCATCTGTGGTGATGGAGAAATGCTCCTAGTGCTCTCTCCTTAATCCCTTTTCCCGAGACCACCTGTGGGATACAAGGGAGGGGGAAACCATAGGTCAGCCCTCCTAAAAGCAGTGACCAAGTGAAGTAAATTGCACTTTGGAATAAGTGCACCCCAAGAGAAAATTCTGTCTCTAGGTTCTGTAAGCAAGAGGAAATAATTTTCAAAAGCTGTCTCTAAATCAGACATATTAACTTGTCTTCATTCTCTTTTAAAGGGTATTCCAGGTTACCCTGGTTTACCAGGTGAACAGGTAGGTAATAACTTCTGAAGCTTTTAGTGAAATAATAATTTATACAACTGTTTGAAATGTTCCTTTTGTTCATTTGTTACCAAGTTTTTCAAAAGAGTTACTTGATTAAATGCTAATGTTAGTATTTTCTGATCATGCTGAAACTGTGTACATTCTTTATCAATTAGGGAAATCCAGGGATTGGAGTGGATGGACAAAAGGGGGAGCCGGTAAGAAAATAAATAATATTAAATATATTATTGCTGTAGAGTTAGAAGAATAATGGTCTTGTTGGGTTCCCTGGAACCCATTCATTGTGGCTCTGTCTCCTGCTGATCATGTTAGAACAGAAGTTACTGAATGAATTCTGAGCAGAAGTGATTCCTTCAGTGAGCTGCATGTCGGAATCAAGCACATTCTGAAGATTACAAAAAGCAACTATCAGTGTTACTAAGCATTTACATACATTCTGAACAGACACAGCAAGGCAATCACAACAGTAATTGTCATTACTTAGTGACAGGGGCTGTATCAGATGAGTCCCTGAATCTCATCTCTTGCTAAGTGCAGAACAGATGTCAAGGAAAGGGTGTAAGAAACACATAATAATTGTTCCTCTACCAGTCTCCACCTATATTAGCATACTCAGGATATGTAGAACGAATGTGGAATATTTGATATTTCTTCTATGAATTGGTCCAATCAGTTCTTAGAATTTGTGCAAATTTCTAACATACACAACTTTCCATAGCAAACCAGTAAGTTAATTTCACATTCACAAAGTCTTGTACTTAAAGGCTTCGGTCTAGAACATGAGAGACTGTATGTACACATAAGAGATTTGACAATCCTGTAACTACTATCTCCACAGCAGATTTGGAGTGGGAGCCAGACATTCTCATTTATTTCCTTAGCTGTAACATTATTTTTAATGACTCAGGAGAATAAGTGGTTAGATTGCCAGCCTGGGATGCTTAGTCATCTGGGCAGATGGTAAAGAAGCTTAAAGATCTAAATGCAAACCTCTATCTGCAGGTAATTGGTACATTTTCAGTGAGAACAGAAATATGTAATGCTGTGTTACAACAGGAAAACAAGCTGAGAGTCACTGAAATACTGCATGGAACATCTCTGCTGTTGTTTTGGCTTCCACAGGGCGACATCGGACTGCCTGGGCCGCCTGGGTTACCGCTGTTAGTTGGACCTCCTGGAGCTCAGCTGTTCAAAGGACAAAAGGTGTTTATTTGTCATCATATTTAACAGTGCTCATCTTGGCAACTACAATCCTGTGATGGAATTTTTGAAAGGATGGCATAAGACAAATCTATCTTTCTGTAAGAAACTACCAGCTGCAGCAGAATCCTGTGTTCAGCACCCTCCTATAAGCTTTCAGGAGAGGATACCCCACGTGTGCTTTAGTTCATGTTCTGGAGGGAAGGCTGTCTTAATGCAGAAAGGAGATACTGCCCTTGCTTTGATTTTATTTTTTGTCATGGTCAGATCATATTTCAGGCATCTTGGCAAATTTGATTACTGTGCTATTGAATCTCTTTGTGGCTCTTCACTAATACTTTAAATTTTGCATATCACTGGCAACTGTACTCCAATCTACAGGTTTGAACCAACCTTAACCCTTCTAGGGTGCCTTATTGGAGATAAAAATTAAGTGTGATTTTGTTGTCAGTTTTACCACAGAATCATAAAATGGTTTGGATTGGAAGAGTCCTTAAAGATCAGCTAGTCCCAATTCCTCTGCCGTGGCCAGGGATACTTTCTACTAGACCAGGTTGCTCAAAGCCTCATCCAAACTGGCCTAGAACATTTTCAAGAATGGGGCATCCACAACTTTCCTGGACATCCTGTACTTCAACATCACACCTACCACAGCTACAGCTGAGTGGCTTAGAACATTAGAATGTTTGTAACCCATGTTATTTTTAAGCAAAAACTCTGTTACAGAGCCCTCTATTGTTGCAGAGCCCTCTGTGTCCTCAAGTCTGATTTCCTCAAATACACAAATGAAAAGGTGAACTTGGCATTGCCAGCTCCTGCAGCCTCAATTTAGGGAACCAGTAAACATACACAAAAACTTTCTTTTTATGTGTAGGGCCAAAAAGGATTACCTGGGGTAACAGGAGACAGAGGGCCACGTGGACCCAAAGTAAGTAATGGCACTTTTTTTTCCCATGGTGCTGGCAAAGTCCTTCTGTGGTTATTATGTTAAACTTCTAAAGCACAGCATTTTTTGCTGTGAAATTTAATCACCACCTTAATCATTGTGAAAGCAAAAATATTTCAAAACCCATTGGAAAATCTTTCTAAGTCTCTTTTATACATACCTATTGAGTGTTGCCTGGTAGCAAAAGGTCAGTATTGTTGCCAGTTGGGCTGTTGACCTAATGGATTGGAACTGTGAAGAAAATACAAGTACAGATTATTTTTGCTCAAGAAGAGAAAAAGATGATCTGAATGTGTTCTTAATGGGGCATGATGTATATTCATCACAGAAGGTTGGGGAATGACTTTAACTTGACACTGTGGATATCCCCAAGGGTAGAGAAGGCAGAGCCACCTGTTTGGAGAAAAAGTTGTTTATATATATATGTGTGTGTATGTGTGTGTGTATATATATAAATTCAACTGCTGAAATAATATGAAGCTTAGAGACCCCAGCAGGTTCCTCAAATAACTGGAACTACTTAGGCACTGCTGGTGGTGCTGTGTGAAGTCAGCTGCAGTGATTGAGCCTCTCAAGTGAAACAAGATCCATCAATGCAATGTATACATAATTTAATAAATATGCACTAATACTAAAATTTATAGCATGCTTCACTGAGCATCTTGGTTAAAGTAACTATTTTGACTGCTCTAGGGCATACTTGGGAGAGGAGAAAAGGGTGAAAAAGGCCTTCCTGGATTCCCTGGATTGCAGGTAAGAAAGTTACACAATAAATTATATCACAAATTCACTATAATTATGCAGTTTAAGTTTGCAATTTCAAAAAAGACTTTAAGGATTTTTTTTAAACTGTCATGCTTCCTGTATAGAGTATTTAGGAGACTTCCCCTGTGACTTACCCTGTCTCAGACTTAAACATAAGCTCACACAAACTTTCCTTGGAAAGAAAGTAAATCTGTAGGGTTATCCTCTAAATATTTAGACCAGCACAAAGCTGCTCTGGAATAGCACAGTACTAACACACTAAGTTTAATGTTCTCCATACATGCTGATGGCAGTTTTTTACAGCAGCTTTACTTGTGCTTGATTTGCCTAACAGTGTTGAAGTGGAGCAGCATTCCACTACTGTGCTTGATGCAATATGGGAAAAAAAATTAAGTGCAAACTGGACTGGCTTGGACAAACTTGGCTATGGACAAACTTTGGTCTATAGCTCTAATTCTTGTCCATTTCTCACAGAAACTATTTGCAAAAGCTTTGCAAAGTTTTTGGAAGATATCCCAAGTAATATTTATCTATGTAACATTAACAGCAGTTCTGGATAGGTTTAATTTTATATAAGTTTTACTGTTTCAGCTTACAGTCTACTTGTTTTTGTTAGGGTCATCCTGGTTCTTATGGACCTGCAGGTTTTCCTGGAATGAAGGTATGAAGGCAGAAAGTATAAGCAGCTCCCTGAACAGTGGGATCAGTGAGAATTTGTTTTCTGTGGATTTGTGCAGATTCGGAATTTCCACATACTTCACAGCTCAGATTGCATTCCTTCTTTTCTCTTCTGCTACCTGTTGCCACAGAAGCTGTATGAACTCTGTGTCTTCTGAATTTCTGCCACTCTTTGAAATTTGGCTGAAATTTGCTAATGAAATCTGAAGTTGCAAGGAGGAGGAAAAGTCAGTGGGACACACATACAGCATAATAGAAAAGTTATGCAGCATGTTAACTTCGTTTTTTATGGTGACATTGTTTCTGCAATTTTGTGGTGCATGCATATTTTGTTCATGTTTCTGGCTTGAGAAATTCCAGTGATGCTAAGTCAGATAAATTGTACTTACGAAATTAAGACATCTTACTGGAATAAAGAACAATAGATGTACGTGTATAGATCTATATCTTGCCCAACTCTAGTTAAGGTAGTGATATTGCTGTTCATAAATCGCATTAATGTATAAATATTTGCCTCTAGAGCTGTGTTCCACATGACTGTTTTATCTGCAAAAATACTTTTTGTTTTTCACTCCTGCCTACCTAAAGAGTTTGAGTTCTGGCTGGATGAGTATATTAGAAAATCATAAAAAGAGAAGAGAGCTGATGTGCAGCTGCTTTCCATGCAGTAGTTTAAGAGTCATTCAGCAGGCAGCAAAACAATTTCAGCTGTATTAAGCAGACAGTCTGTCAGAGTCTGCTGGTATGGATTCCAGCTAATTCTGCGCCCCAGGTTCACTAAATCTGCTGAGCACTGTCTGAATAACCTGGCAATACATGCTGTGAATTTTCCAACACAGGAGAGTCTGTGAAACACCACCTCCTGTACAAATCCAGTCAATTCTCTGAAACAAGCTGTGGACACAATTATAACATCACAGTACTATACAACTGCCTTACTGGGTTTTGCTCAATTAATTATGTCTTAACAGATAAATCAAATTGTATTTATGCCATCCTTTCCAGGGTGAAACAGGATTTGCTGGTTTTCCTGGACAACCTGGCTATCCAGGCATACAGGTAAAAAAATGACCACACATTCACACCCCACTCCCCTCTGTGCCAGTATTACCTCCCAAATGTACCCACTTACCAGGCCATTTCCCTTTATACAGTCATAATTTCTTTAAAGATCTACTGTTTTCATGATAATTATAGTTATTCATCACTGTGGTAATAAATAGCAATGTAAGAAAACATTCCTAGCTGGTGCATGTGAGAATGGGAATTCTATTTTACATACCATAGAAATTGTTAATCCAAATAATTACCTGAAAGTATAGCAGGATAGCTACCTAATGCATGAATTGTTGTACTCTGCAAGGTATTCATGGTTGAGCTACTTTCCCTAGGGAGGTAAAGGAAGCTGCTGTTTAGTTAATGGTATGATCCTATAAACAAGGATGAAAACTGGCCCCAAATGAGGTGGCTAAATTCCATTCAGATGGGCTTGTTTGCATGATTTACCAAAATCCCTTGGCATGTGTTCGATGCATTCACTTAAGTAATTGTTCCAAGATGTTTACCAGAAAGGTAAGGAAGTGGACTCCTTCACACCAGCTGTACTTAAACATTTCCTACTTTGGCTCACTTAGATGACACCAACAGTCTTTTATTTTACAATACCTGCTGCTTTCCATTAGGGATTAGAAGTGTAGGTGTCACATCCCGGGGAATAAGCAGTAAAACAGGAAAATATTTGAAGTGTGGAAGAGATGTTTAAAATAATTTCAGAAGACCCAGGTGTCAGTCTAGTCACATTTCAGGACAAAAGTTTATGGAATTTTCTTCTGCAGGCTAGAGAACCAATGAAATTCTGGCTACTGGATCATATTGTAATTCTGAGTAACAACAAAGACTTGAATGAAGGGAACTATTATATTTCCTGTGGAATCTACAATGCTAAAGCACACTCAGAAGAAAAAAGCAGTTCTGGATGCTACCCTAGAGGCAGCAAAGCACCAGTGAGTCTAGCCAGGGGGGAAGGCCTAAGGAGTCCTGGTGTAGGGTCCAAGTGGTCAGCAGTGTATGAGCAAGAGGAGAAGTGAAATGCTGCAGTGCAGAAGGTGGGTGACAGAATCATCAGCAGAGACACCAAGGTTGAAAAAGCTCATCAAAGTTACTACCACAGTACAGAGGAAAAACATTATTGCAGAAATTGTGATGCTAATGAACTTGGTTTAAATACTCTGGAATATAAAAGTCAAGGAGTGTTTATTTCCCTCTGAAGCAACTTTTTTGAAATGTACATATAAGCTAGTAAATTTTCTTCAAGAGATTTGCACAAAAACCACCTCTGTTATAAACTAAATGTTAAGATTGGAACACACTCTTCATAATCTGTGGTGACACATAGAAGTAAACATGGCTGGTGCAAACTTGTCATATAGTAGTATACAGCTAAAGACACAGTAGAAAGCATACAAATATAAAGCAACAAAGAGGTTTTCAAAGCATGTTTACAAATGAGAAATGACAAACACATAAAGTAAGTAAGTAAAATACAATAAAAGCATCTGGCTTAGTCACACACTTACTTTCACAGTTAGGACTGCCAAGAGAATGCTAGACCAGCTTCTTCAGCCAAGATTTTAATTGTGTGGTCATACCCAGGAGAAGAAAAATTGCCCACACATGTTACTTTTCCTCCCTTTTGGCTATTATCAACTTCACAACACAGTGATATCATGTAGATATTAATTAAACTGAAACACTGCATATCAGATTTAAACAGAAAATTCATTGCAGTCCAATACTCCCAAAATCTGGAATCAAATCTTATGTGTTTGTGTTAAAAAGTTCTCACCCTGGTGTACATATTGTTTTCATTCATGGCCTCATTAACAAACTTGAGACAAGTCATGTTATAGACAGAATAGTGCATTCCTCAGACTCCACTGATTAGCCCACAGCCTGAGTAGCCATCAGTAACACTACAAACAGTAAACAAAAACATAATTAATTGTTGGTAGGTTAGGCTAGGGAAAAGGCTGAAATCCTGCAGTAATGAAACAGAAAGATGAAATTACAATTGCTAGTGCCGAGAGCAAAAGAAATCAAATCAAGTATAGACAATGTAATAAAAAAAAGGAAAACTAATACAGATATGCAAAATCCTGAGTTACAGATGCTGTAGTTTTGATTGGGAAACAGTTGGAGAAATCTGATTATTCTTGAAAGGAGAGACCTATCCAGACTGCATCAACTGTTCAGCTGGCCTCACCAGCTGCTGTTTATGATCCACTGAAAATCACGTGCACCAAAGGAACAGGAATATGATTAAAACTTCTCGTGGGAATAGCCTGTCCTTGTGTAGATTTTTCTGAAACAAACATGTTCATAGAAAATCTAAGATGCATTCAGATTTAAGGTGTAGAGACTCAGGAAAAACCCCAGTTGCACTGAAAGTAGATTTCATCTTTAAAAAATGCTAACTGTTGCTAATAGCGTAAAGTGGACTTCAAGAAATCGTTGCCATAGCTTTTGATGCCTAAGCCTGAATGCTGGCAACACAATTTTTTTTTTTTAAATAAACAGTTGGCAAGTTGAGTCTCCTGAAGTTTTTATGGGAAGAGAAAACAGTGTCAACAAAATAATCCAGACAGATCTATGCCATTATGTAGGAGTATACCAATGGTAAAAACACAGCAAATAGGCAGCTGCTAGCCAGAGAGGGTCATTAGCCCTAACAGCCTAAAACCAGATTTTCAGAGACCACAACTGGAATTTATTACTTGGGATACCAAGAACAGACATGTCTGACATTGGCTCATTACTTTTCAGTTCTTTCTTGTTCTGGTTGTGTCATTTTAAAATCAGCACAAAAATAATGTAAGACTTGAGCCAAGTACATCTATTATACAAAGCTTTGATTATTTGTCATCATTAAGTTAAAGCTCAAAATACTTTCTAAATTTATCAGAGGAGAAAAAATGCTAGTTTTACTTTTTCTTCCCTGCCACACAGAAGGCTCTTCTGTGTCATTAGGGAAGACAGATTTATGTTTCTGTGTAAAAGAACCAAAGATGATGACACAAGGATATCTTTTTTGTTCTGCAAGATACAGTCAGAGAAAACAGGCCAGAGATCAAGAGGGCAGCAGTCAGTGTCAGAACTAATTACTGTAGAAACGCCATTTTTTTAAAAAAAAGCCAAGAAAGAGGCATAGAGGCCTTGTTTTCGCTTGTGTAAGACTGGGTATCCAGTTTTGTGGTCCCAGTTCTCCTTGTCTGTGTCCTAAAAGGCCCTGGAGTCCAGTCCTGGGAATGCAGCCTCACTATGCAGTTCCCACACTGACATTCTTGTTTTCTCACTTCCCACTTGCTGAAAAAGGAGAGCTGATTTCTAATCTACAAAGCAAAAGGTCTAATACAATTTGCCACATAAAAGTCTTCCCTGAAGTCCACTTCACTTGGAATACTAAGTATCAAAATCCAAGTTAATTTAGAAACCCTCCATGCAGAAGTGATTTTCCTCACCATTAGTAAGTACTTTCATGTTTCCCTAATGCAGATGTTTCACTCATAAGAGCTTCGAGTTTCTCTTACCATTGATAATAGCTGTTAGACTCTGAAACCGATTTTTTTTATGCTTACCTGTCATATAAGTAATTTCCTAATTCTGATACAGAATTTCTGTAATTTTAGTTACAGATTGGTTGTTATTAATAATAACAACCAATAATAATATTGGTTGTTAAATGGGTACTGATTTACTGTAGTTGAGTCATATTTACAATAAATGAATGAAATCAAATACAATGGTTATGTGTTCAAATAGATAATGTATGATGGGTATATTACTGTTTAGCCACTGGCATCCTGAAAGATATTGATTATTTTAAATCTTTTTTCTTGATTTTAAATGCTGTAAAGTGTGAAAATCAAGTTTCCTGGGTGGTGTGTGTTAAATCCTTACATACCTCCCCATTGTTGAAATATTCAGTTACATTCTAGTGCACCATGTACTTGTAATAAAAAGATTATTGTTGGACTCTTACAGGGGGATCCAGGAGAGAAAGGGCCCCCAGGTCCTCCTGGAGCTGTTGGAACTCCACTGCCTCCTGTAAAAGGTTGTATCTATTTTTGACTAGTCTTTGTGCTGTATGAAGTGCAGGACCAGGTGTGTGAAACTGCTCACTAGAGGTGCAGGGGACAGAATCCTAAAACATTCCTAGTGGCTACAGGTTGTGTTTGTGGGTTTGGCCTCATTTTTTGTGTTTGTCTTGCTGATTTTCCTGGAACTACATTAAACATGCAAGTGGCAGATTAAAGGTTTGTGTGCGAGATCTTCACGCAGACAGTCACAACTAGATTTGAGGGACACTCTCATTATTGGACCTAAGCATATTTACAAAATATCTATAAAAAATAAGCCACTTCTGGTTAATGGACAGCAAATAAGAAAATTTGCCTTCCCATTGTAATTTAAGATTCCTGTTTTCAGTATTGCCACAACACACAGATTTTAGACTACAATCAAACTTCCTGTTGCATAGCAGGGTCAAAGTCCTGGGAATAGTAGCCCCAACAGAATACCTGTCAATTTATTACCTTCCTCCCTAAACCTCAGGCTGGGTTTTAATGCCCCAGCTTCTTTTATCCCCATCTTACTCATTTAATTGGTGAAAAGATATGTGGAAATTTTTATTTAATAGCAGGAAGCTGCGGAGAACAGCCTGGTCTGCTGCCTGCAAGGTTGTGCTTCTGCATCTAATACTTGGAGAGTTTGTCTTATGAGAACATTTCAACAGAGAACTCATTATAAACTGTATTTCTAGTGCAGCATTAGAAATTTCTTGTGATCACATAAGTAAGTTACAACAAAACCCCAGTTCAGCAGAACCTCCCCATTAGACAGAGGCCTCATCCTAAAATAAATTAAATTTTTTCCACAGATTTCCATGGTTTACATACAACGAGCAACCCCATGCTTAATATCACAAGTAATATTCAATCATGTGCATGGTGTGAGTGGGTACAATCTTGAAAGAAAGAGGCCTTTAGCACAGTAGAGAACAGACTACTGCAAATATTTTCTGTTTCCAATTTAATGAAGCTGGTTACATCTCATTCAGGTTTTCTTTATCAGTATGTAATTGCAATTTGAAATTTCATATTTGTAGCAATTTTGAAATTACACTTTTAAAAGTCTGGATAATTTCAGCTAAAGTGATCCTGAAATGACCTCCCTGTGTGTACTGACAACACATGTAATATGAAATCCATATTTATTTTCAATGTTACATGCATTTATTTTGGGCAAACATTTCTCTTAGCATTTTGTAATACACAGCACAAAGATATTTCCACAAAGGGATGAAGAGTCAAAAATGTGCTTATGAAATGGGCTGGAATCCATAGAAAAGTAACCAAATCCTCCCACCTTAAAATTAAATTGTTACACACTTTAAAATGTTTCATAAATTATTTTACTTTTGTGTAGTTTCCAAATTATAATTTTGGTTGCAGCTTAATTTAGATTTAAGCTGTCGATTCTGTCAGGTGTTCAACTCACGTGTTTCTGTAATTCTCTGCAGGCCCACGAGGAGATCCTGGATTTCCAGGTCCTGTTGGTGAAATGGGGTCAGTTGGACCAATTGGTCCTTCAGGCCTTGTAGGAAGACCAGGATATGATGGAACAAGTAAGAGAAATAGAGGAGAAGTGTGAACTACACACCAGAATGAAAGAAAACAGCTGAAAGAAAACTGTTCTTTATTCTTGCTTGATGCAAGTTACCAACTGTAAAGACTGTTCAGTAAAAATATTAATTCAGCACTTAATAGCCAGAAAAAGAAACAAAATGATCCAAGCAGGACATTAGGAATGACTAGAAAAAGAAGACCAAGGAGAATACTACCATGGTAAACTCCTAGTATAACTGTGTCTGGAGTGCCGTGCTTAAAATTTCTGCTCTCCATCTCAAAAAGATATGAAGGGATGTGCTGGGGATGGCTTTGGTCTTTATAAGGAGCTGGAGTAACTGGGATGTCTGGAAAAGAGATAATGAAGGGAAGGAGGAAAAGAAGCATTTGAAGATCTACAGCAGGAACCTCTTTTCTTGTGGATCCTGAAAAACCTAAGGATTTGGATTCAGGCATTAGTTATATAGAAGCTGTTTTTCAGGACAGTCCTGGATGGTCTGGAATTCCCTCCTTGATATCTCACATTAATGCTGTTTGAGCTGTTTCCCTTTCTTTTTCTTTTTTTTTTTTTCAGGTCTTCCTGGCCTGCCAGGAGTAAGTGGGGAACCAGGACCTCAAGGTTTTCAAGGGGACCCTGGTTTGCCTGGAATAGGTGAATTAATCCCAGGAAGACCAGGATTTCCTGGACCACCAGGCCTACCAGGGCAGCCAGGAAGACAAGGCTTACCTGGACTACCCAGTAGGTTCAATTTATATAACAGAAACAGACTTCTGCAGATTAATAGATCCATTGCTTTTGTTGGTGCTACAAATGCAGAGAAGTGAAAAGTGTATTTTGACAGCTATTTCAAAGTTTACATGAGATGCTGAAAAGATAGTTTTCCTATTAGCTTTTGATCAGCGAAATTTCAAGATTTTCATAGTTTTCTGGGTGATTTAAACTCACAAAAGCAACACACATATTAAAATTATGAACATATTAAGAATATACTACCTGAAGTTAAAATACTGAGGAAGAAACACCAATCTGCATCCTTTAGAAAAGAAAAAAGTAAAGTTTTAAGTAGAAAAAAATAGCAGTGGCAATGAGAAGCAATGTGTCAACATCAGCTCTAGCCATACTGTCTGTTGCAGTATAATCTATAAGCAACAACTTGTAAAGCATTTAATAAGATCTCTAACTTTTCATGTTAGAATAACAAGAGAATGGAGAGGAGGACACATGACCTAAGCTGTTGAAATAGTAAACCTGATTTATACTGGCTGGAAAATTTGTTTTTTTCAAAGGTGTAATCTGTACTGATAGAGGGATCCCTGGAGAACCTGGAGCAAAAGGTCAGATAGGCCTTCCAGGAAGAAAAGGTGCAAAAGGAGAGAAGGGTAAGTTGGTCTGGATAAAAACAATTTGAGTACAAAACCTTTTCCAGGAGTGTCAAATATAAATATGCAAGAAGTTCATGGTAACGTGAAGGATGAGGCCCGTCAATGTACAGAGTTACACGGTCTGTTGGCGTAGGGGCATCTGAGTCAGCAGAGTCCTATTTTAGTGCAGAGTTACTCAGCACTGTAAAGGGAGACTGATAATCCTCTCCAGGTGAGATAACATGAGATAAAATGGTCTGTGCACTACTCACACAGAAAATAAAAAGGACAACATTATTTTTTGTGTATTAATTTTGCAACTTTCAATGTAATTTTGACACTTGCATGTAGGAAGTCAAGGCCTCTGCTCATGTAGTGCTGGTCCTCCTGGTCCCCGTGGTGTGCAAGGACCTCCAGGTACTCAAGGAAGGAAAGGACAAATGGGATACCCTGGAAGACATGGAGAAAAGGGTGACCCAGGCTTATCTGGTGCAGTGGGACCACCAGGGCTCCCTGTGAGTATCATGAGCGTCAGTAAACAACATCAAGTTACCTCTCAACTCAGGAGGCATTTAAACAGAATGGTGGAGAAAGTGCCGCAGAAAACTATCTGGAACTTTTATCTACTTTAGTTTATTACAGTCTAGTAAAACAAGCTTTTGCTTTTGGGAGCAGACTTACTTTTTTTAATGTGCTTCATATAGTTTATCTTAGTCCCCAAAGTGAGCAATAATTCAAAACACCACTTAATCTAACTGCTTTAGGAATACAGTATATGGTAATTTATTGGTTTTGCTGTGATTTTGACCTACTTCTTCTGGTCTAACATATGGAATGTACATCCAGAATGCTGCATGCCAAGATGATGCCAAATAGAAGGGTTTTTTAATATACTCTCTCGTGTGAGAAAGGGTTTTCTTTGAAAATTTAGGTAGATATGCCCTGCTTTATAACTGTTGAATTATGGTTGGGTTTTTGGGTTGTTCTGAGGGGTGTCTTTAGAGGGGGTTTTGTGCCTTTTTTGTTGTTCTTGGTTGGTTTTTATTTTTTTTGTGATTTAGGTTTGTTTTAATAGCGGGTGGAACTGTTTTTTCACATAAGGAATTGCTTAAAAGTTTCCAGAAAATGTTCTTTCAATAGAAAAAAAACCAAACAAATGTATTGTGAGTCTGAAAGAAGGAGGTGGAAAGGCTCTCATTCAAGTTCCAATAGTTTCCTTAGAAGGTTTTCATTTTCTCTCTTTTTTTTTTTCTTAAAACCCTATTACCTGAGTGGTGTATGTAAGATTCTGATGTTTTTATTACTTCTGAGAGTATGTTCTAGCTCTTGTGGCTCTGAAGTAAGGCTTGAAGCCTTGTTCTGAGCTTTGCTGTTCTTAGGTTACTTGAATTGAGAAACAAGGACAAAATAATCACTCTGGAAGGAAATAATTCACTTCAGTACAGAAGTGCTTTGGTCTAATAGATCATTTTTCTGCTCTTTTTTCTTCCCAAATATTTAATTATCTTTTCAGACACTAATAATTGATCACTGCCTACTTGAAGATCTAGACGTTGTACCAAATAGTCACTTCTAGCTTCAGATACACATTTTTCAGAAATCTGCTGTCTGATTTAAAATTGTCAATCATATTATAACTCCTTTTGCTCCACCTATTTTTAAGGGAAAGATTTTGAGTAACAGAGGAAGCTGCCTAAGTAATATCCCAGTTTTTGTACCTTGGTGGCCTTTTACTTCTGTGTAAATTTCACGTGGTTAAATGTACTGATCTACTTGTACTGTTGCAAGATCAGACCTTGACCAATGATGAAATGAAAAGTGTACCCTGCTTGGACAGCTGAAAGCAAAAATCAGCATAAAAATATAGAAAAGTATTTATTTTCCCCTCTAAACCTGTCAAAACATATATTGATCTAAGAATATGATGTACCTAACTAGATGAAATTTTTTATTGGTGGCTTTGTGGGTTTTCATTCAGAAAGAAAAGCATCGCTTGCTTCCTGCTGTGTTCCGTTCTGGGAGGACAGCCTCATCCAGTAGTCACCACCCTCCAGAGATTCCCTTCCTCAGTGGATTGTGGGTTGACATCTGCAGTGGGAAGAGTTCATGAATCATTTGTCTCTTGCTATTACGTTTGCAGTCCCACATCTGTGCAGCCATGGGCCCAGTGCTTCTGGCATTACAATTTCTTTCAGTGTATCTGTGAATGTGGCAGAGTCAGCCTGAAAAGGCCATGTGCCATTCATACTCGTCTTTTTGACCATCAAAAGAGAAAAGTGCATCCTTTTGGTTACTTTAATTGGTCTTTTTTAGGGAGACCATGCAAGAGATAGATATCTAATTTTCCTTTCAATTCCCACTTCAATTCCTTGCTGGAGATAACTGGCAACTCTTTTCTTTGTCAATGATAAGGGGACTCCTGGTTCTGCTGGACAGCATGGGGAAAAAGGAGAGAGGGGTGATCCAGGAAGAGTTAGAATAAAAGGTAAATACACATTTTACCATTAACCTTTTTTTTTCTATATGATATCTAGGCAGTAGTGTGAGAAAAATATTAATTTACTCTTTATTAAATCCATTAGCTCAGTAAGTTACTGAAACCTAGAGGGCATGTATATCCAAACTGCTCTCTTGGTACCATCTCTTCTTGCTAAACACAAGATCAACATAGTGTTTTGTGGTTTTTTTCACTATAGTTAAGCCATAAAACAGTTTTAACAGCATGTTATTAATGCCAACAAATGACTTTTCATGTCATGCAGTTGACAATTGGGGTCTTCCAGAGGTCTGTACAGCAAAGACTAAGCATACTGTGAAATACTGTGAAAGCATAAAGAAATGCTATTGTACAGAAGCCACCTTCTGAAGTGTCATATACCAATAACATAGCTGCTATCTCAAATTAGGCCTCCAACATCCTTCTTGGGAAAACATCAGACTCAATGACTATTCGGATTCCTCTATTTCTAAAAATTGCTCTTGACCAGGCATTGAAGAGAAACAATAGGCCACCAGTTGCACAACTGGAATTCTTGTAATTAAATAGATCAAAACCTCTCCACAGTTATGGTTATGATTTGCAAAAGCAAAAGAAACAGAGAACAATCAATAAATTACAGCAATCTGATGGCAAAGCTTAGTTAGAAAAGCTAAAACAGTTATTCACAGAAGATTGTGCTTCTTATTGTTTATAAAATGTTAGCTTAGCTTTGGATGCCTGTGGTTTTTTTACAGATGTTGGAGCAGGGAAAAACATTTGCTTTTGTTTGCAAAGGATTTCTTGACACAGCAGAATGAATCTTTGTGTTAGAATAGTTTTACTGTCCTTGATGCAAAAGTTACTTTTTCATAAATATTGGTGCAAGAGAAATCCACAGTGTGGGGGAAAAAAATTAAAGCCTTTGGGGAATATTGATGCAAATATTCTGCATCATATGGTACTGCTATATCCTGACTTCACTAAAATCAAGTGTAAATCTATGACCTGTTTCAATAAAGCCACATTCCTGTGGTGCCTGTGAACATGTTCTTTACAGAGAGACCAAGTTTTTCCATCAGGTATCCAGCTACAAACTGCCTTCCTAAACCTAAAATGCCTCATTAAGGAATATGAATTCAAGGATGGGGAATTATCATGAAGATAGAACACCTAGCATTTCCTTAAGCAGAAATATCTTCTCCCCCTAAAATTACTGCAAATATTATTTTTTCCCAAAAAATACTTTAAGGATTAAAAGGTGAAAGAGGACCTGCTGGGCTTCCAGGATTTCCAGGCCAAAGAGGTCTTGATGGCAGAGATGGGGAATTAGGATTACCAGGGGAAAAAGGAGCTGAGGTATGTTTGACTTCCCCAGATTTTTTCCATTTCAATTAACATATTATCTTATGAAAGGTTATGAAAGTTTTTATCCATTAAAAAATTAGCTTCTTGTAAGTATTACTGTTTATTTTGGCATTCCTGAATATAATCTCTCCATATACTATGTGCCAATATAAAGGGGTCAGGAAACAAAAAATACACAAACCCCTTTGTTCCTATTGCCTTTGAATATTTAAAAATACTAATGTCATCCATGTAGTCTTTCTATTGTGAAAGTGTTTCTCCAAATAATTCTCTAACATGCTTTTTCATGATCAGAGAGAGGAGAGAAATTATCTCTTGTTACTTCTTACCAAGAATTTTTAATTTCAGGGTGATTCTGGAGTAGCAATTCCGGGTGAGAAAGGATTCCCTGGGCTCCCAGGACCTCCTGGGGTAAAAGGCCAGATGGGATTGCCTGGTTTGGGGCTTCCTGGGCCTCCAGGAGCCAGAGGTAGCCCCGGAGACCTTGGTGATACGGGTGATATTGGGCCACCTGGTCCAAAAGGCCAGAAAGGTAATTTTGAATGTCTAAGTTAAGAATGAAATAACAAAATATGTTTGGATGTTTGGTGGCATCCATTATGGTTTAATATGTATTATTCTATATGCATAGCTATGTGTATACATATAGTTCTATTCATTTAGGGTGAAAATAATATTAATTTATAGGAAAACACGATTTATAATTAAAGCTTGGCTAGGTTTTTGTTTATAAAAATGTTTAGCAAAAAAACATCTACATCAGCTATAGATAGAATTGAAATGGAAATATTTCATTCCTGCAGTAGAGAGTATTCTAAGACAAATTGCCATGACAATTAAAAAAGAGTTTGTCTTTAAAAAATACAACTGTATTACAATTCAAAATATTACCAGTGTTCTATAGTAAGTATCAAAAAATACATATTTTAAGATTCCCCATCAAAACTTCAGTAATATGGAAATAAAAATGTGCATAAACAGCCACTTCACATTTGCACATGTGGTTGGGTAGTTCCCCATTTATATTACAGTAAGTGTTCAGACTCCAGCTAATCTAAAATCAAATGAATTTCTTCTCCCTCTCACTTCAGGTGAAACTGTCTGCATTACATCACCATATCCTGGAAATCCAGGTCCCCCGGGTTTTAAAGGTGTTCAAGGTATGTTCATGCATAGAAGAATTTTTGATTTCTACTGAAATGGAGTTTTAAGTTTCTAATTAAAGAAAAGAGCTATTCTAAAAATCTACACTATTCTAGTTTTTTAACTAATTTTGTTTCAAAATGTAGAACTGCAATCACACAGGAATGTACTCTTTTAGAATCAAGGGTCAGACAGCTGCAGTTTGCACCATCAGAAGGTGTGCAGGCAGCCCCCATGTAAATAATTAAATCAAGATAGCTTCAAATTCTGTCCTGCCTCAATGGAAATGCATGAGATTGTAAAACATGTCTGGAGTCGGATAAGTCCTAGAGTATGTACATCAGGAGAAAGAGATGTGCAAGGCAAAGATATGCTGCAAGTCTGTAATTTCTAAAACTGTATGGCTCATGGCAGCTTGCAATTGAGCCCTAAAATCTCAACACTTATCACCATTACTTCAACTTACTCAACTTAAATTCAAAGAACTCACCCAGGAACTGGCAAAATGTTGCTTGTGATCGCGTCCAAGACATTTGAAATATCCCAGCAAATTCAGAGGAAATGGAGATAGTGGATTTTCAAGCTGGTATTACACATCTCCCTGACATCAGTGTTGTGGATGGGAGCAAAAATTTTTACAGACATGAAAGAACAGGGATGAGTGAACTAAGCTCATCCACACCATTCCAGAAGCAGGACACAGAACAGAAGAGTATAAGAACTTGAGCTGACACCTGTCATTCACTAGGTTAACACTGTTCATGGCCTGTAACATTAAAATGTTGTAGGAAATATTTTTTTCCTAGTTGACATTGATGATTTGAAGTCTGCTGTTAATGGAATAGGGAACATGTTAATTTAGAAAAACAGCATTTGTTTATGACTTGGGCAGTGGATCTTGCCCAAAAGAAATTAAATCAGCTTGTTTTCAAGGTATATGAATTTGTATGGGATAAAGATAAAATCCTTAGATTACACATTTTAGTGTTCTGACAGCTTTTTTTTGTATTTCCTTTTTATTTCCAGGACAAAAGGGTTTAAAAGGACTCCCTGGGCATCCTGGACCAAATGGCTTTGATGGGCAAAAAGGCCATCGAGGAAGGCCAGGAGCAGGAATCCCTGGGCCAGAAGGTGAATTGTGCTTTTCCTGATCTGGGAGAGCTGCTGTAATGCACGTTGTCATGTTATAATGCATACATGCAGGGAAAGGTAGGGTAGGGTAGGGTAAAGTAGAATTGAACTGAAATGAGTAGTTCAGTGTCCAGAGAGCAAAGGCATTGAACTGGACAAAGTGGCAGCAGTCAAGACAGATGCTGCCCCAAAGAAAACCCCTGTCACTTCCCACAGGAATTACCTCCTTCAATCTTCATGTATACTATAAATATAACTATAAATAAGAAACATAAAATTTAATTTATTATGTTATTTTTCTTTGAAAGATGACAATTTAAATCTGGCTGAATTTGGACTACAATGTTTCACAGTTTGGGAGGTGGGGGGTGTAACCAAAACAAAAAACCCTGAACACCTCCTGAATTATGCTTTATTTGAATTTTAAAATCATATTGACAGGCTTTAGAGGCACAGCTGGTGATCCTGGTGATGAAGGTGAAAGAGGAGCTACAATTGATGGCAAAAATGGCCTTCCAGGTCCACCTGGCACAGATGGTCAGAAGGGTCTCCCAGGTGACACCACATATGGCCCTCCAGGAATCCCAGGCAACAGGGGACTGCCAGGACCCCCTGGTGCTCAGGGAGCAAGGGGCAATCCAGGCATTCCTGGACTTCAAGGTATGGGCCAGTTTCTATGAAACACTTCTACATGTTCAAAGGACAGAATCCGAGCAAAAAGTGCTCCTGGTTCAGAGAAAACTTCCTCTCACTCAGATCCATAATGGTGACTGTGGACTGTACTCCCTGTTTTTACATTTACATTTTGCTGTTCGCTGCAGTGATGTCTCCACAGCACCGCGTCCTTCCCACCCCACTGAGGATATTGCTGTTTCCTTTTACAGGTGTTCCTTTTGCCTGGCCCTAAGCAGATACACCCATCCTTCAGTGCAGGGAACACCTCTAGATCTGACTCAGTGCTGTGCACCTCGTGCAGGCCAGTGAGCTACCCCCATTCTGCTCCTACACATCAGAAACTCTCTTCTGTACCTATATATGAGGGTTGAATTTGTCTTTGTTCCTTAAAGAAAGAAGTTCTCCACAACAGACAGTTCTAAACTGCAGAAGATCATCACTTTTCAGAAACAATGTGAAAACTACAGGATAAATAATATACTATAGTAACTGAACATGTACATTTCAAAATTAAAACTAGGAATTCTGAGGGACAGTGAGTAATGGAACTAACAATGTTTTTCTTCCAGGACAACCTGGCACCCCAGGATTTCCAGGTGCCAAAGGTTTTAGAGGCCCAGAAGGTGATATAGGAGCACCAGGCTGTCCAGGCTTCCCTGGCTCACCATGTGTCCCAGGCTTACCAGGACCACCTGGACTCAGAGGTGTCATGGGCCTGCCAGGACCTCAAGGTACACAACAGCCAGCTGGTTGCCTCACAGCTCTAAGCTTTGTACATATTTTCTGCCAGATTTAATCACATGGTTTTTGTGGCTGGCATGACAGATGTTTCCATGGGGGCTGCTCATTACTGGGGGTATACACTGTGTTCTGGACATTTTTTAAACTCAAGGAATGTAGACTGTGCATCTCAGGTGTATCCCAACTTCCCTTCTCAAGCTGTTCCTTAACTGGCCAAACCACTGTGGGTTCACTGTAAGTAATAAACAAAGATCTTATCTGTTGTCCTGAGTAACTTAACTGAGCTCCTGTCATTACTGTGGTGCTTTTATCTTCCTTACTCTTCAATGGAAGTGTTATTTAGGGAGAGCTGGGAGACACATCTATCAAAAGTATTTACAAATTAGTAGGGATTTTTCACAGTGCTCTTCTATTGTCTGTCACTAAAGAAATACAAGTAAACAAACATTCCAATTGAAAAATACAGGCAGGGCCAGGACTACAACATAGTGATAAAAAGGTTGCAACTTATTCTGCCGTGTTTGATGATCTTCAAATTTATACCAAATCTATCACTTTCTACTTTTTATATACAATTGCTTAACTTTTGCCTGCATTTACATACATAGATTAAAGCTTTCTTTCTCAGGCTTGCCAGGCTTTAAAGGTCAGAGGGGAGACAGGGGCCTGGCTGGGTCACCTGGAATCAAAGGTCTCAAAGGCTCTCTGGGCTCACGAGGTCTCCCAGGTCCTCCAGGCACACGAGGTCCCCCAGGGCTTCCAGGCAATAATGGACCCATTGGCTTCCCAGGAGAAACAGGTATGTTAAATATCCTGCAGACCACATCACCTGTAAGTTCTCTTGTAGAGGGAGTCCTTTCTACTTCTGTCAAGGTTAAGAAGTACTTTGCACCCACCTCCCTTTCCAGCTTCAAGAATAAGACTGCAGCAGGGTAGAGTCAATAACCATAGAACTATCCATTGTTCTTTCTCTTATGATAAAAACAAATGGATGAATATAGTTTGATGTGTCTTGGTGCATCCTGGTACTTTAGTCATTTTACAACAGTGACATATTTCTATATATTATTTCCTGACTGTTTGTTATAGGTTGTAATATGCTATAATAAAAGGAATATGTTTAGGGTTAACAGAATCCCTTGGGTGGCAGTTCTGAGGAGCAAATGAGTCCAGGAAGGCTGAAAATTCTTCAAGAAAGAAATTTTTAAGGCGTGGGAACAAGCCATCCCATGCGCTGAAAGACGAGCCAGCGAGGAAGACGAGCAGCTGGGCTGAACAGAGTTTTAGCTGAACTCAGGAAAAAAGGGACAGTGTATCAAGTTTGGAAGAAGGGACAGGCAATTCAGGAGGACAGTGATGTCTTTGATTTTCTCCCCCCATAACCCTAAGGGCTCAAAGTGCAACCAGAACTCAATCTGGCTACTGCTGTAAAAGACAATATGAATGCTTCTATAAATACATTAGCAGCAAAAGGAGGAGTAAGGATTATCTCCATGTTTTAGTGGATGGAAGGGGGAAAACATAGTGACAAAGGATGAGGAAAAGGCTGAGGTCTTCTTTGCCTCTGTCTTTAATGGCAAGGCCAGCTGTTCTATGGGTACCAGCCTCCTGAGCTGGAGGGCAGGGACAGGGAGCAGAATGAATCCCCCATAATCCAGCAGCCACATGCAAGTTCTGGTGGTGTGTTAGGGATAATTGTTTTAGGAGCTTTAGGACTAAGTGTAGCCTAAATCTCCAGGAGCTGACTTGCAGGTACAGGGAGGCAATTTGCTTCAGTGGAATCTGGGTTCAAGATCCTTCAAGGGAAGTTTGACCTTGGCGTGAAGCCATGCTCCAACTATTGGTTCTCTAATTCTACTGATTTCTTAATAAGTCCTTCTAAACATCCTGCTTTTCCTTTAGAATATTCCTTAGAATATGACATCAACAGTATAAGCAGACTTAACATGTAAATAAAGCATTTTATATTACCAGGAAGCAAAGGCATTCAAGGACCCCAGGGATTCCCAGGACTTCCAGGAATACAAGGCCCAATGGGAATCCTTGGTGTAAAAGGTGAAGAAGGAAAAATGGGTCTACCTGGGCCTAGTGGAGAATGTGGAGATATGGGAATAAAAGGTTTGTAAAAAATACACTTCACTCTGTAGTTATATTGCTGCTATGTTCAGATTTGTTACTACTGTGTTAAAAATATGTTTAATTTTTATAGGAAAGAGAATAATCATCTGCAAGGTGCAGTCACAGGCAGTTCAGAATTGCTGTCTTTCATAATTTCACAATCTTTCCTAATTCTTCTGATTTAACATCACTGGGTTATGACTGAATTTACAAAAAAACAAGGGAAGGATTGCAAATTCTGTCAGCAGTAAGCCTGCTGAAAAAACAGAGAACCACATTAGTATTTGAAGTTTTTCTCTATTAAGAAAGTCACCACTCAAACTGATTTTCAGGACACATGACTCATGAGAATATATTTATATTCCATGTGTTACTTCCAAGGTGAAAGGGGGCCACCAGGAGACAGCGGCTGTGTTAACCTCCGTCTTGAGAAAGGACAAATGGGGGACCCAGGGTATCCTGGTGAGCATGGATTGAGAGGTGAAAGAGGTAAGTTCATAAAATAAAGCCCTAAATACACACATATTCCTCTGGCATAAATCACTGGTGGTTTTCACAGTGTGGACTCAGGGCTGCAGTAACATCCAGCCACCATGCCATGTTTACAGATTCCTAAACTGGCTGCACAGTTTCTTTGGATCATCAGTAAGGCAATACACCACGAGTGAAAGCATTGCTATATTGAAAATCAGTATCAAACACTGTCTTGACTTGATTGGTCATTATCTTGCTCTTCAATCAACTTCAGGTGAAAAAGGTAATACTGGTTTCAGAGGAACACGAGGATTTCCAGGGAAGAACGGTGTTCCAGGACTGCCAGGTGACCAAGGAGACACTGGAGTGATGGGGTTTCCAGGATCACGGGGTTTGCCTGGACCAAAGGGCCTTCAAGGAATTACAGGTTTTCAAGGAGAACCAGGTGACCAGGTAAACAGAGTGGTAGTGAAGTGTCCTGGATTTTGCAGTTATCTCCTGCCTCTAAGAAATATGATGAGGGGTGCTTGTACTGTACTCCTCATTAGACTCATTACGCACCATGTCTCAGAGAAGAGACAGCCAGTGTAGTAGGAACTGTAAATTCCCTAATGAAACACCTCAGTGCCGTGGTTTCATTTTAGCAGGAACTGTGGTGGGAGCTAGGAAAGGACCTCTCTTAGCTACCTGTTCTGATGTAGTGCTTTGCCATGTAGTTGAAGCCCAGGCTCCACTACACTAAAAAGGGGGGCAAAAAACAGATGCACAATAAAGTCTTTAACATTATTCTTAAGAAAAGATTGACAAACCACTTATCACAGAGATCATAACATAGCAGCAGCACAATTATGCAGTTAATATGTAGCTGTTTCTTCATATCCTGCTCTGTGAAGTGACCAAGGCACTAGGCAAGACAAATCAAATCATCTTTGCCCCAAGCAGAACCCAGGCAAGCAGTGTTGCTCAAGAACAAATACACAAAATGACACAAACATTACATGCAAGGTATAATTCTTACTTCTTTTATGCTGGACAGATTACATGAAGGCAAAAGCACAGTTACTTTCTTGGTGAAGGGACATACTTTTGCTTTTTTTTTTTAAATTTAATTAATTTCTTTGCCGAACATGCTGGTCATTATTCAAAAAGAAAAACAGGAAAATCTACATTTTTTTATTGTGACATCACAATATTTCTGGTTAATGTTTATAGTAAATTTTGGGTAACATACAATAATATTTGGATAATATATGGATACATATTTTATGGTACTTTTTAATTCAAATTATTCAGGCCATCTGTGGGGAAATTAAGCTGTTTGAACCAAGAATGAGAATAAGCTATAAAAGCATAAATTCAAAATTATTGGCAAGTCTAACCTACAGTTTCTTGTTGGTAGCCAGTGTTAGACATTTAGCAAAGACAAGATAGGTTTTTTTAAGCTTAAGATACAGTTTTGCTAAGAGAACCAAATGCTCCTGCAGATCATTCCTGCTACATGTATCTTATGTCAAACATTTTTATTTTGTTGTTTGTTTTTTTTAAATCAGGGTGATACTGGCTTACCAGGAAACCCAGGATATCCAGGACTGACTGGCCCCAAAGGATGTAAAGGTAGTGAGTTTAAATAGACATGCTCTGAAAAGAGCAATATTGTTAGGATATATGTGGGATAGATGGTGAAGACTCATTAGAAAATTATTTTCACTTCTGTCCTTTTTCCCATAAAACATGAACATAATTAGAAAAAAGTCTCACTTACCTGAAGGCAAAAGTTGCATTTCAGTATATTTTTAACCAGCTTCTTCCTTTAAAAGTAGGTATTGTTAATTCAGAAGATAAATTCCTGTCAGATTTCATACAACTTAAAAATTCCATCAAAACCATGAACAAATCCTTATGGATATGGAAAACTTGTCAAATCAAATAAGAAACCATGCAATCAAAGTGAGTTGTCATAAATTGCATGTGCCAAAGCAATTTTCTTTTTGTGTTCTCCTAGCCCATTCTGTAGCTGTTTTTATCTATTAATGACTCTCCTGATCTTAAAAATGTGTCCAACTTTGGTGTTGTGGATGGAAAGGTTGCTTGTGTAAAATGGAAATCATTGTACCTCAACAGGCAAGAGAGGTGACCCAACTCCTCTGCTTGGCACACACGGTCAGAAAGGGCCTCCGGGAGATCCAGGATTGCCAGGTACCTCTGTCTGATTGAAAACAAAATTAGACTTAAAATTTTATTTTCTCTAAGTTTTGTTAGCAGAGGGAGCCCTGCTCCCTGTGCATTTTGAGCCATTCTGTAGCAATAGCTGTTCTTATTTTTTTATTTTTTTTTCTTTAAGGACTCCGTGGATTTCCAGGGGAGAAGGGTTTACCAGGTATCCAAGGACAGCCTGGAAGACCAGGATCCAAGGGTGACCCTGGATATCCAGGGCTACCTGGATTACCAGGTAATTAAAAAATAATGCCATGGAATATCTCAAAAGAGATATGGAACAGAGATATGAAGAGATATGGAAGGCAGTTGAGGCATCTCTGTGAGGAGGCTGGAGAAATCAGAGAGCATATAATCAGAGGTGGCGGGCATTGAAAGTTATTTCTGTACTATAGCAGCAATTGTCTGCTCAGTCTCAGAGAGCAAGACCCATCAATTCTTCCTAGATCCCCAGACACTTTCAGGTACTGTTGTTAACATAATTGCTGCACAGCATGGGAAAAAAATCAACAGTTTAATGGACTTGCATATTCATCTTTCACTCTCAGGGGCTACAGGTCCTCAAGGATTGCCAGGAGAACCTGGAGAAAAAGGGAAACCTGGAATTTTGGGACCTCCAGGATTGCAAGGGTTGCCTGGATTCCAAGGCAGAAAAGGTGAACTGAATATACAGTGTCATTCTAGTGATAATGTGACAGTACCAGACATAAATACTCTTTCAGTAGTGAAAATGGAAAAGGCCTGTGACTGATTGGAACGCTGGGGTCTCTTAAACTGCTAGAAGACTTAAGCCAGTTCCCATTAACTCTGAGAAGTAACATAAATGCTACTTTGGAAAACTGGGCTACAATCTAAAATGAGTAAGGAAGAAGGTAGAAACAGAGTCTGGCTTAGCTGATGTAACCAACAGCAGAACTTTAGGAACGAAAAAGGAGTTTGCAGTAATTAGCTGTTTCACTTCAGTTATGCTGTGTTCTACATTTTCACCATGGAGTGCCACTGTTACTCTATAAACCCAGCAGACTGCTATGACAGCTTTGTTTTTCAAATTTGTTTTAACAAATTGTGATAACTTGAGTTGCATTTTATTGTTGGTTTTCTTGCTGCTTGTCTGATTTTGGAGTATTTAACATAGAAGTGTTTCTTCCAAATCCTGATTTACACTTCTTGCAATGATTGTTGTGTTTAGATTGAATGTTAGTTCATCTATACAATTGTTTTTGTTGGAGAACATTATTAACTTTTACTATGCTTAGAATTGTAGAAATTGTAAGTTATCAATACTCCATAAAGAAAGTTATCAACTCTTTATCCTGTAATAATAATATATCACTATATTATTATAGTGTGCCTCATAACCAGTTCCCAAACAGGAAGAAGATTAGTGACCCATATCCAGAAACCACAGTAAAGTAACACTTGGGGCTATAAAAAATGGTTAGAGAGGACAATAGATCCACTGTTTCAAGTTCTGCTTAAGGACAAATTGACAAGGTTTCTTACAAATGACTGAAAATTCAAATGAAAAATGGAAACAATTTATGATTGCTTGCAGTAAATAAGCAGTGCTGATTTAAACTGTCATGACAGACTCCCTGCCAGTACATAATGTGCAAGAGAACATTTCAGTGTTGCAAACAGTATTTGCTGTAACAAAGGCAGAGATCTGCTGTGGCAGGGATGTCTGAAAGGGGTCAAAAAAGAAAAAAAAACCATTCTTCTGCTGAAAACTTCTTCATAATTGATGGGCTCTTTCCTTCTTGCCATAAGACACTTCTTTACTGTGCAGAAGTTATCCCAAGTCCTGCACAGGAATATAACATTAAGAAATGTCCTGCAGAAGGAAAAGTTCAGTCCCAAATGGCAATTCATTAGAGACAGAGCTGCCCACTAAGCTGAGGATTCTGTGTATTGCCAGCATAGCTGAAAAGAAGGTTAATACCTTTGAAACTATACCCAGTAATGAAAACTGACTGATATTTGTATTCCAGTTCAACTGGATATATAGATCTTGGTGCTGTTTTCAACAAGTGCTGGTGCAAGCATTAGAAATGAAATGGGTGATTTGTAGCTAAGTACACGGCCTCGTTAGTCTCATTGGTTTTCAGTTACATTAAAAGTCCTGTACCTGAACTTTTAGATTTTAAAGAACATCTAGATTTAAAAAAAAAAGGAAGTTAAACATCATCTATCAAGGCATAATCCCATTTTCTTTATTACAGTAGTTTTACTAGTTAAGGGCTTAGCCTGGCAAGCCTTACTTGTGTGAGTAATCCTTGATGGAGCAAGTAATACTCAGACCATCACCAGGAGGACTTGTGTGAGTAGGAGCTGAACTGGGCTGTACAACACAGAAACAGTGGTTCATGCTCAGGTCAGCCAATTCAGCTGTACCTAGAAATATGGGACCATAGCAATCCAAAAATCTAGAATTTCAAGTGCTGATATTATAATGGATTGTTGGCAAATGTGTCAGAAATTCCCTGGAAAGCAAGTAAAACCAAGCCATCAATCTTGCCTGAATGAGCCAAGGATCAAAAAAGTTTTTAGTGGTGACCTGGGGGGCCAAAATTAGTTAGGAGTTCTTAATAATTTTAAAATACCACTGTTAAATTCCCCAAAAGCAACTCTTACATGAATTTTAAAACGGGAACATGTCCAAAGCACAAGAAGGCTACAGAAAGCAGGAATGAAAGTTAGAATGTCATGAGAAGTTAAAGAACAGTTAATTGAGGTCATAGAAGATATTATGGGTTGGATTACTAGTATCCCATATTATAACGTAGATTACACAGAGAGTATATTATCAATGTTTTGCAGGTTTTCAAACAATTTTCTGGATTTAAATTTTTTCCAGACTGGTGTTTACTACACACTGGATTTTTTCAATTCATGCTTTGTTAAATTTTATCTAAAATTATTCAACAGTTTCTGAGAACAAAGCTATATGATTATAATTTTTCGTGTGCCTGCTAGAGCTTTTTTATTTTTTCATTCTCAGATGACCCATCTTTGTCTATGAACACTTAAATTTGGCAGGTGAAGCAGCCTGATGAAGGGCATTTCTGCTGCTGTTCCTACAGCAATTTGTCCTTGCCAAATTTTATCAGTTTATAAATTTAAAAAAATATATCCATTCATATGTACTTGAGTAATTAATTCTCCCAAGATGCCTGCTCAGGATACATGGCAGATTGGTGAGCTGTGGGACATGCTGGGATCAAGCACAGGCACCCAACAGTGAACCTTCATCTTCTGTGCCAGGAAGGAGCCAGAGGAAAGGAGACAGACACACAGATAATTCAGGCTTGTGGGAGAAACCCCCTGCAAGTGGACTGGGAATCCTGCCTGGAGAGTCAGGGCAGGGAGAGGGATTGATGGAGAAGAAAAGTAGGCAGAGATGAGCAGCAGAAGTGGGACAGAGACAGGAACAGGCACTGATAGTATCATTGAGGATGATCAGTGTCCCTCTCTGGTGCAAGAGGCATCCCAAGTCTGTTCCTGTTTCTGAAACCCCTCCGAAACCAGTCACAAATGACCCACCAGTTTTGCCAGACCTGTTGCTATCACCAGGTGACAGACTGCTGTCTGCACTGAACAACCTGGGAACTAAAAAGCATTGATGACATGGAGATATTTTACTCTTGACTGCAAACAAACACAACCTTAGATTAGTTCAGCTTTTGAAAAAATGGGTAATAAGTGCCATCTGTGGTTTTATTCATTGTGTTTTAGCAATTTTCAAAAAAGAGCAAATTATAAAGCAAAAGTTATGTCTGACTACCACAAACACTCAGCTAGTGCTAGTGAACATCACTGGTGACAGAGCTGCTCTGCATACTACAGTGTTTCACCAGAGGCTTCAATTATAGATTTGTTGTCTTCAAAGGTTTTGTGCTGTTTGGTTCAAAGAGCTTTTTTAATACAGTGATGCAAAAAACCACATAGTTTTCTGTGTGAAATCTGGAGGACCAGAGAAAAGAAGCCAGGTGGAAGTTCAGCCTCTTTTTGGTGCAGCTGGGTTAAATTGCACTTCTATTTTGAACAGAAGCTGTAAAGAAGTTCTAGCTTTACAGCTATCTTAGGTAGTGTCTGCATCCCCATCGGTGGCCATGAAGCAGTAGCACAGTGAACTTTGGAGTAGCAACCACATGTAGCCATGGCAGTGCAGCCACAGACACAAGGTTCTCTATAGATCAGGCCATAATCTGTTAGCTGCAGGATGGAAGTACCTAAAGGATTGAAAGTTATGTTTTCTGATTGCTCTGATGTGAAACTCTATTAAGACTGCTATTTTTAAAATTTTCACATTTGCCTTTCCAAAAAGACAGCACTGCAATGTGGTTTCATCTGCAGTTGCCAGTAATCAAATTCAGTAAATACCCCATCTTGATCCAGTATGTGTTGTCAGATTAAAAAAAAAGGCTTGATTTTTAATTGTGACTGTAAAGGATTGTTGTGTAATACCTGTGTAACACCTCTCAGGTCTTCCTGGACTGCCTGGACTGGATGGCTTGGATGGACTAAAAGGTCAAAAGGGTTCTGCAGGAGCTCCAGGTAAAGATGAAAAATAACTGGAAAAGAAAATCTTCTCCTACATGAGTGAATGTGCAAGGAAAGGTGCATGTTATCTTGATGTTTGCCTTGCCCAGAAGATATTATTAATGCTCAGACTAAACTGTCAAACAGAATCTCAAGTATGCTTAATGGCACACCTGCTGTTATTTGTGGGGAAAACTTTCAAACTTCCATTACTTACATAGTTTTGTTGGAATGTTTCAAGGCTGTTTATAAAATTTAAAAGTTCAGTACAGATGACTCAAAGGAGAGCCAAGTCTCTTTTTTTTTTAATATATGAAAGATAAAACTAACAAATTAAAAGGAGACCTGTGAAATCCCAGCTCCATTTAAAGTCTGTGGGAGTTGTGCCTCAAACATAGGGGGAACATGGATTTCACCCATGCTGATGTATTTGCAACTTTCAAAAGGTGCTTTTGAAGCACTATTAAAAAACAATGTTTATAATCTATCTAAAGATTACAAATATATGCTGATAGAAAATTAAATTTAGAACCATACAGTTTGCATTTCAAGTTACAGACAATAATTACACCATACAAAATAACCCCTGAAGAAGAGCATTCAAGCAAAAAGATTACTTTCTTTGAAAGTGATGAATTAGGGCCAGATTCAACAAAACTCTATCCAGTTTCCAAGAGAGAACCAGAAAAACAGCACTAGGCAAACCTTGCAAAGAGGAACATCTGCAACTGGTATTTCTGTTCTGCACATCTGTATTTGTATTCGCTGTAAGCTTTATGTACATAATTGTTTTCTTATAAAGGTCAGAGTGAGACAGGGCCCCCAGGATACTCAGGAGAAATTGGACCAAAAGGAGACAGAGGTGAACCTGGATGGCCTGGTATTTCTATTCCAGGCTCCCCTGGAGAAAGGGGATTTCCAGGATTTCCAGGTAAGAAAAGGTTTTCTCCAAAGTGCTGCTCTGCAGAGCTGAAATTAAGCTCATACTTATTTTGGGAACTGCTAGGTAGGGTTGGCATTTAGGAAGAAATTCCTGAACAAAAAAAGTGCAGAAGATCTGGCAGTCCCAGAACTATAATAAATCTATCAACTCTTCTGATGTAAGTGCAAGATAGAACTGCCTCACAAGATTGCAATGGTTATTTTAGAGCTTGGTGATATAGGAACTGCACAGAAATGGGAAAAAGCAAGTGTTTGAGGCAGGGCCACTGGGAAAGTGAAGAGACTGGAGCATCTGTCCTATGAGGAGAGGCTGAGAGAGGGGGAATTGCTTCGGCTGCAGAAGAGAAGGCTCAGGGGGAGTTTATTAGTGTGTGGAAGTACCTGATGGGAAGGACCTGGTTCCTTCATAGTGATATCCAGTGATAGGACAAGAGGGAATAGGCACAAACTGACATTCAGGAAATTCTCCTTAAATAGAAAGAAAAGTTTTAATTTCCCTATGAAGAGAATTGAGCATGGGAACAGGTTGCCTGGAGAAGTTATGAAGTGTCTGTCATTGGAGATACTCAAAACCCAGCTGGACAGAGCCTGAGGCAGCCTGCTCCAGCTGATCCTGCTTTGAGGGCAGGGTTAGTCTAGGAAGTCTCCAGAGGCCCACTCAAACCTCAGCAATTCTGTGATTAGAAGTGACAACAACTTTACGCTGCCAGACCTTGCCACAGTCACATAACACATGGAAGAAAAACAGCAGGAGGTGAAATCTGGTGAGGTGAATTATTCTAAGATGAAGACACAATCAATTTTTCTTAGTTTGGTTACTAGTTGGTGAACTGGGAGAGCCAACAGAATGGTGCTGTTGAGGAAAAAAGGAGGTTTAATTCTGAGATGTATTAACACTGTTGGACACAGGATAGGAAAGGTCTCCGATGGTTGTGAGCAGCTTTGACAAATAAGAGAAAACTCACCAGAAGGTAAATGGAAGGATGGGGTCAAAAGCAAGACTGAAGAAACTAGATTTGTTTTTTTGTGGAAAAGAGAAGGCAACAGAATGCAACCCACATGTTAACAAGCTGCAACTGTTTAAAAGTGTTGTGCAGAGGATGGAAACCTGCAACTCTGCCTGTCTCAAGTAAGGGCATAAATGTTTTATTGTGTAAAAATCCAGATTTAAAAAAAAATCCAGATTATTAGGGGAAAAATGCATTTAAGGCTAGTAAATTCATCTTGTTCACTGAGATTTTTAGGAATAATTTTTAGGAATTTTGCTGTGAATACTTATCCTGCCCCAGGCAGAATCATTTCACAGTCCTCACTCACTTCACATCATTACCATTTCTCCCATTGCTGGAATTCAGGAAAACTCGGCTATCTGTGTCAATGTGCCAACATGTGAAGATGTATTCTTCAGGTTACATAGATTTTATTGGAAGAATTAAAAATTGAAAGAGATAATGAATATTTTCACTTTGACAGGTTGGCCTCATTAGCCTGGGGACTGGTATGTTTGGTATACAAGTGGGAGCATACATTACCTCCATGACTTCTCATGTCATTCTTCATGTCTTCTCATTCTCATTCTTTTACTTACTAACTTCTGTCTGTAATCTAAAAAAACCCTCAGATTTGTATTTTAAAATGTGATCCCTTAGGTAGAAGAGGACCTGTTGGACCCACTGGACCTATGGGAAGATCTCCTGATAGTGCTTCCCCTGGTCCTCCAGGTGATCAAGGATTACCTGGTTTAGACGGCATCAGAGGTATTAAAACTAAAAATACCAACTTTTATCATGTAAAATGTATAGAAGTGCATAGGGAATAAAGAAACCCATCACTACCTCAGTGAATACACAGAGAAGTGAACACTAGGTAGATAACCAGAGCAAGGACAAAATGCAGATCTCCAAATTAAGCAACACAGTAATAAATCTATAAGATATAAATATAGAGAAAGTATAGAAGTGTTTCAATGAATGTACCAGTAACTTGCTGCCTTTTCTGCTTGCACAGAAGTTAAATAACTTTGGGAACTACGCCTATCTCTGTCTTCCTTGGACAAAGGCTAGCACTAGTATTTCCAGAAAAATGCAAGGGCTATCCTATAGCCTAGAGAAAAAAAAAACAATCTTTGTGCGAGGAGATCCAGGTGATACTGGCATTCGAGGGGCACCAGGTAATCCTGGGCCACGAGGACAACAGGGAGCCAAAGGCCCTCCAGGGAGCCAAGGAAGAGAAGGCCCAAAGGGTATGGTCAGAGATGTTTTCAAGTTCTGTGTGCACTTATGCCCAGCCCCTGTGACTGAGCCTTGTGCCCAGGGGGTGGCCATTGGCGATGGAGCTGGGCAGAAGGGGTGGAGGCTGGACATTCCACAGCTCTGCCTGGTTACCTACAGACACAGTGGGGTTGGGGTAGAAGGTGAGAATAGAGGCAGACATGCACTGCTTCACAACAGCTTGTTGGAAGACACCTCTGCAACTCTGAGAATAAGGCAGTAAAACATTTTAGTTTTACAGTAAAAATTAGAGTTTGCCAGATAAGCGAACCGTGACCCCTCTTCAGGGGTCCTGAGAAACTACAGGAAATGAAGATGTGTTTGAACTAACAGAGTCTCATGTCTGCCCCATATCAATAGCTTGGGGCTTTCAACAGATTCTTTAGTTTGAAAACAGAAATCTACATACTCTGCTCTTTTCACACACTGTAGAGAAATCCCATCTACACCATCGTTTCCAATCTCTACAAAAAGAAAATTTCCAGACCACGGAAAGAAGAAATGTGTATTTCTTTCTGTGGCACAACAGAGTTGAGGATTCTCAAGGATTTTTTGTTACTCAAGCATCCAGATTGTATTCTATTTTCGTTTGGTTTTATTTCCAGGTCCTATGGGGGTCCATGGCCCACAGGGTCCACCTGGTGCTTCAGGACAACCAGGAGACCAAGGTTTTCCAGGAAGACCTGGTCCCAGAGGTCCCACAGGTACTTATGAACCTGTTGCTCATTGTCATTCAACTGGAACTGTGATCCTTCTATTCATACATAATCATACTAATGCTGACTTGCATGCAAATAATTTAAATAATCTCAGAAAAAAATCCCTGCAGTTGCCAAATTAAATGATTTCTCATTTGATTAAAATTTTCTGAACTATTTGTTTCTAATGTCACCTCATGTAAGTGATTTCAGTTCTCATTCCATTCTTTAATTTACATGCCTGAAACTTGCTTCCACCTGCACCTCAATGGCAACAATCTGCTTTCCATTTTTCAAATACTTCAGGTTTCATAGGTAAGTTCATGACTTTTGATTATTATTCTTTTCATGGGAGCTCCCTTATATATAGAAACATTCAGCTCTTATTAGAAGATATCCTTGGCATGGTTTCTAGGAATAGTAGGTACTGCTAGCAGGACATAGTTCTAATATATATTTCACATAAACAGCACCAATGTCATGAGAATGCTCTGCTGAGAATCTCATGCTAGGATGTCAATTAGACTTGTGAAACATTTGTTTCTGATTCTTATTTGGGTTTTTTTTTGGTTTTCACACAAGATGCTTTCTAACCAAAATTGTAGCAAAAGCTTGAATCCTAACACTGGACTACTACAAACACTGAATTCCCCATCTGACTAAAAGTTGATCCAAAATGCAAACAGTAAAAAAAAAAAAAAAGCTGCCAGTAACTTTCACTATATAAAATGTGACTATTCTTTTTTTTTATTATGCATTATAATTACTTTAGATGGCTGTTATGGGCTAGCTTTTTTGGCCTGCCTACTGATAGTTAAACAGAAAAAAAATAGGCAAAATACTGGAAAATGTTCCATGTGCTAAGATGTTTGCACTGAAGCTGGGTAGGTAGACTTTAAGCTTTAACTCAAATCAGTTTGGGGCACATTAAGACTGAAGCTGTACACCAAATATGTGAAACATAGAATCATTGATTTAAGTTGTAAAAGTCCTCCAAGATATCAAATTCCACCATTAACTCAGTGCTTCCAAGGCCACCCCTACACCACGTCCCCAGGTGGGCCACATCTACACTTCCTTTCAGTACCTCCAGGGATGATGGATCCATTATCACTTCCCTGGGCAGCTTGTTCCAGGGCTTGACAACCTTTCCCATGAAGACATATTTCCTAATATCCAATATAAGTCTCCCTTGATGAAACTTAAGGCCATTTCCTCTTGTTACTTGGGAGAAGAGGCTCTCTACAAGCTCCTTTCAAGTAACTGTAATAGAGCAATAAGGTCTCTCTTGACCCTCCTCCAGTTCCCTCAGCTGCTCCTCACCAGACTTGTGCTCCAGACCCTTCCCAGCTCCGTTGCCTCTCCCTGGACACACTCCAGCACCTCAATGTCTTTCTGGTAGTGAGAAGCCCAAAACTGAATACAGGATTCAAGGTGCAGCCTCAGCCGTGCTGAGCACAGGGGCACAGTCACTGCCTTGGTCCTGCTGGCCACACTATTGCTGGTACAGGCCAGGATGCCATTGGCCTTCCTGCCCACCTGGACAAAGATCACAGACAAGCTAACATACACTTGTTAACACTGGCTTGCCACACTGTTAATACTGTGCTAAAAGACTTAAGAGTAAAATCAAAAACAGTAGGACTCAATAATTCAAGATTTGAAAACACTTAAAGTATACTCTTGAACACCCAAATCAGCTAACATTTATGTTGACTTTTTGAATGGAAGTGATTAGCCAGTCTTGCAATTCACTTTCCCATTACACATTCCAGGTGACCCCGGTGAGCCAGGAAAGATAGATGATTCATGCCCTACAATCCCAGGGCCTCCTGGGGAAGCAGGGCAAAGAGGAGAGGATGGCTCTGCAGGATTACCAGGGCCAATAGGCCACCCTGGACCCCAAGGTAAGCTCATGTTCTGAAAGCTTGGATGTTCCTCTCAGCCATTTAGACAACAAGCTGAAAAGGGTCAGAGTGTCAGAGTTACTTCTCTGTTTTACCCTCTCTCTTCTCCTTAGACACTTACTAACAGTCTCCAGAAACACATAGTGGGCTGGTTAATGCTGAGGATGATGGATAAATGTAGCTGAACCAGGCTGTTTGAGCCTGCCTGTACTACATTTCTGTTTCCTAGGCCAGGCAGGGCAAAAGCATTGTTGAGAAAAAAGTTCTTCAAGTGGTATTTTTCCTTTTTCCCCTTGAAATTATAAAGCAATGCCTCAAGCCATCCCTGTGGTTTAGACCTATTTGGAGGATGCTTGAAATATTCATGCTTTAAAATCTAGCAATAATTAATCCCAAAGCTCTGCTAACCAAAGTCCTAAAAGGACACTGAAGTCAGAGAAGTGGCTACAATAGAGGTCTTTATCTATTAGAACATGAAAAAGTTACCACCAAAGAAAACTGACCAAAGAGATCTTAAAAGGAAGTGAGGAAAGACTGAAATGTTCTTCTGACAGATGAAAAGAAAACAAGGGTGATGATGATACCAGTGACTCCAAAAGAGAGGCCACCTTCTTTGAAACACAGCATAGGCTGCATTGCAGAACGTCTTCAGCTTAGATGGTGGAATCTGTTGTGTGGTTTTAGGTATTTCCTACTTAGGAAACCAAAGTTTGTTGTGTTGGCTGCTCTGGAAATCCAGTGTGTCCAGAGAAAAATCCCTGATTGTCTCCCAGGAGATTCACAGCAGCAGTCATTCCCATCACGAAAGGAAACAATGCAGTTTTCAGTTAACTCTCTAGTTTTAGGTATCTTAGTTGATTTGCCAGCTAAAAGGGGTTTCTGGGGTTACACAGCTGTGTTTCCATTATATGCATCATTAAGGGTTTCTGTCAAACCAGGTGCTACAGTGATACACATATTTGAACTGGTTTTATGAAAGAAATAAAGAAATAGTAATGCTTTTTCCTTCATTAAGATAGGAGAATCCAATTTTTTCCTGGCTTGGAAGGTAAAGTGGAAGTTTTACTAGCAAAAGCAGTGGATTTTATTAAAACCCTTCAATGTGCTTAAGCTTTGGCAGAATAACCCTGCAAACAACATAGAAAAGCTGTTAATATTTTTGCGTGGTTCAGTCTTTTGTGGTAAAAAGTAACAAGGGGAAGTTTGAATGTTGTGAGACAACCTTGAATTACTTAGTCTGCAGATTAAATAGCAAAGTCTGCTAGGAATGAAACACCATTACTGAGAAACAACTGTGATGGGTTCTGAAAAATACCCTCATCTGAAATCTGGTTTTAATCAAAAGGGGAAAACCACTTTAAGTGCAACAATACCTGAGAAGTGTTACATTGTTCAATTCAGGTTATGTTTTAGGTAGCCACTGAACAGGCCCATCCTTATCTGCATCCTACATGAGATGTATCTTTTACTGCCACAGCCACACCTTCCCTGCTAATGTATAAAATGCATGGACATGTGAGAAATACAAAAGGTGAGGCCATCAGGAGCCTAAAAATGTCTAATTCTGCAGACCCAGCCCCACCCTGTTCTCTAAGTATTCCAGTACATCCACTACTTCAAAAGGAGTTTGCTATGTCTTCTAAGCCTTTGCTGAATGGGGTTCTCAAAGCTGACAGCTTGGCTTTTCTCAGGAGGAGTTACAGCTCATTCCATGGTACAGATCCTGACTTGCATGATAATGTTTGTTGGGGAGTGCTTTGATTTCAACTCAAGATCTCTGGAGAGGATGGAAAACCTTATCAGGAGCTGCTGTTCCTAAGTCCTGCCTCTGAGCTACTGCTGTGGTCACAGTGTGAATAGGTGGTGAAGAGAATTCCCAGCAGAAGCAGTTCTGCACCTCCCTGTCCCAGTGTCCATTTCACTGACTTGCCCTTTGTGTTTGGACAATGCAGAACCTTAAATGCAGCCCTGTGAAGAAAAAGCACATACTTTTTATTTATCTAGGCATAAAAGGTGAAGAAGGATCGTGTGGCCTGCCAGGTCAAGATGGGTTACCTGGGGCACCTGGACCACCAGGTGACCAAGGGAGCCGAGGAGAGCAAGGATATGCTGGGCCACAAGGTAAGAATGGAGCATGACTTTGGGGGGGAGATGTGTGAGATGACACACAGACTCCGTTTTCTCTCTGCTCCAATTCCCACATGGAATTCCCACCTCTAGCCTGAAATTCCACAACACCTCTTGCCCCCTCTTAGTTCAAGCAATGACAGTGACATTTGGAAATGATTTCATTACAAGACCTGTTGGGAAAACATCCGTTATTAAGCGGAAAGGCAATTAAGCACCCATGCTCAGACAGCATATATCAATAGGCATGCATCTCTGAGCCAGGGCTAACGGGGCAACTGTCTGGCAGTAATTAAAGCTGTATTTTAACTGTGACTGCTCTCTAATAAATTAAGGGTTTAATACATATGTGAGCAAGGGCCATCGACTGTTACTGCAAGGATTCAAATTCAGTCCAGATGTTCTGCTTATCCTAGTGAGTAAGTCTGGGAAATCATTGCCCACTTCAGTTCATTTCTTAATCCATACACCACAAGACAGAGGCACAATAGAAAAGCCAAGTGCCAAGCATTCAGTGGCAATCTAATTCATTTCTCTTCCTGAAGAAGGATAACAGAAGTCTACTTGTGTCTTTATTGCCCATGACAGCCTTGAAGTTGTATTACACTCAGTTAGGAATTTCTTGTTGAATGTTTAACACATGGCTGGTGTGAACTTTTACTGTATGTTATACAAGTAAATTTCCTTCACCTTTCTCCAAGGTCCACCTGGCCAGACTGGTGTTCCAGGACAACCAGGCCCCCAGATTAGATCTGCAAGTGGATTCTTGCTTGTCCTTCACAGTCAGTCAGACAGAGAACCACTCTGCCCACAGGGGATGCCAAAGTTATGGACTGGCTATAGTCTGCTGTACCTGGAAGGACAAGAGAAAGCCCATAACCAAGATCTCGGTATGTATTATATATAATTGCTCTCCAGCTAAGGGATAATATGGTGTTATCTATACAAGGAAAGACAAATCACATGGAGCAAGCTATAGAACTGTCAGTTCCTTATTTTCTACAGACTCAAAACTCATTTACAATGTTGATAATGAACTTGGTTTTGCTGCCATATTGTCACCCATTTAAAATGGCTTCCTGCTGCTCTACAATTGAACTGAAAAGTATTTCTAAGTAATTTTGACTTGAAGGTGGAGAGATGAGTGGTTTATTTCACTTATCCCAGCTCATTTTAGGCTGTCTTTGAAGTCACTGGAGAGAATTTCCTAGGTCAGAAATCTCATTTGGCCACTCTGAAATAACTCCCTGGAAGATCTGCTCCTTTTTTACAGGAGCTAGTTAAGTTGGGTAAGTACAGTTGGGCAGTACAAGTAAGCTTTACAGGTAAATTATGCATCATGTGTACAGCAGAATCCTGTGCTTTTCAGAGTCAGAAGCTAATATTTTTGGAAAAGCCAAATTTCTTCCAGAGACAGCTCTTTTTGGTGCCTTGGGTCATTTCTTCTCTGTCTTCTACGATTCTGACTAAAATTATATGTCTAAATAAGCTGCCTGACTTGCAGCCTGAGGAACCGATTGGTGGCAATTTGCACAGCAAAAGTTTCCTAAATTCTTGTTGACTTGTTACAAAAGAGTCAGAGAAGTCTCTGAGGAGGAAAGATCAAGGACCTAATAAGCTGAACAAAAAAATAAGTGTTTAAAAGAGCAATAAAAAGAGCTATTTTTAGAATAGCAGTGATGTTTTAGAATGTTTTCACTATTGTGTGTTCGGCATTCCCCAGGAGAGCCAGTTGCTAACGGAATGCCTCATAACAGCAGTGAAAATAAGATTCAAAGAAAGCAGGGTCCTTGTCTCCTGTGTGATTTTGCAGGCATTTTTCCTACTCAGGCTGCTCCAGATCCTTCATTACTACTGGAATAGAATATTACCAGTGATAAACAAAACTGGCTTCTGTACAGAAATGTCACATGTCTTTAATGAAGGTGTTTGGGTTTGGGGGCATTACAGAAATAACACTTCACACACCAAGTTCAAGGCAGAACTTCGTGCAGTGATTATTGCTAACTAAATAGGCCATCATGAGACTGTTCTAAATTCAGCCCTGGAAGAAGTTCATCACAGAAGTATGTACTGGTCACTTCTTGGTTCCCACTGATGTCTGCCTGATGAGAATTTTGCAGGATTGCCTCTGCAAAATCCCCCAGTCCTTTTATTTCACTTTGGGAGTCTGTGGAAGCTTTCTGGAAGGCAGTAGGACAGCTGTTGAGATTTCAGCTTAATGCACTGCTAGCAATGGCTTGTCATACTTCACAAAAATGTTTCTATTTATCAGCATTGTCATTTAGTTTCTCACTGCTCCTAATGAGTTTGTAAATAGCTGATCTCCTTTTAAACCAGCCACCACCTCTTGCCTAATTTATTTTTCAGTGTTGGCACAGCTAAGAAATATGTTATCATAACTGTTTCTCATGGTGACAAACTACATCATGTTTAAATATCAGATTGACACAATTAAATATTACCGGTCAAAGGAAGATGCTTACTGGTAATAGGTCTCTGTTTTTTATGTAGACATTTTAGTAAAGGGCTTGGGAGGTTTAACAGCTGTGGGTTACCTAAATCCTGCTAAAATACATCATTTTGTAGCACCATTGGTCGGAATACAATTTTCAGTTTACCTAGGAAGTGGAATAATTGGCATCACTTGCTGTTATTTTCAGGTCTGGCAGGATCCTGCCTGCCTGTGTTTAGTACCATGCCATTTGCCTACTGCAACATCAACCAGGTGTGTTACTATGCCAGCCGCAATGACAAGTCCTACTGGCTGTCCAGCGCTGCTCCGCTGCCGATGGCGCCGCTGTCCGAGGAGGAGATCCGGCCGTACATCAGCAGATGTGCTGTGTGTGAGGCCCCAGCACAGGCAGTGGCACTGCACAGCCAGGACCAGACCATTCCTCCCTGCCCACTCAACTGGAGGAGCCTTTGGATAGGATACTCTTTTTTGATGGTAAGAAAGTGGGTGCATGACTGTATAGACATGTTTCTTTCATCCAGCTTTTGTATTCTAAAGGTTCAAGGATTTTTAGCTCTGAAAAGTAAATTATTCAATGTCTAGCAAACATTAAAGAGGAAAAGTCACAAGAAACAAGACAAAGCTTAGTTCCAAATTGCAGAACCTACCTGTAGCTACATAGACTGTACTCAGAGACTTAAGATACACATTTCTTAAAATTACAAAGGTTTTGCCTCCTTGTCTATAATAAACAATAGGTTTTTCATGTACAAAGACATAATTTTCAGAATTGGAGCCCTAGGTCATTTTAATGCCATCCTCAAGTTACATTTGCAGCAGTTTGGATAATGGCATTGTTCTGAAACAACCCAGACTACTCCTTCCTTCACTTTGATAAATACCTGAAAGTTAAGTGGGCCAGCTCACTTAACTCTCAAAATGAGACTTTGAGATTAACTTATTACAGAGCAAATTAAGATTTTCTCCAGCAAAAGAATCTTACTCCAATTTAAGATTACAAAAAACTGTACAGTTAAAAGCAAGTAGGGAAAAAGACAGATGAACATAATTTACCTATTTTTCATGCACAGTTACCAAGTTGTCTCTGCTCTTTGCAGCACACTGGATCTGGTGACCAGGGTGGTGGACAGTCCCTTATGTCACCCGGAAGCTGCCTGGAAGACTTCAGATCAGCACCATTCATTGAGTGCCAGGGCCAGCGAGGAACGTGTCAGTTCTTTGCTAATGAATACAGTTTCTGGCTGACCACCGTGATGCCTGAGCTGCAGTTTGCATCAGCCCCCCTGTCAGGGACGCTTAAAGAAGGACAGGAGCAGAGGAAAAAAATCAGTCGATGCCAGGTATGCCTGAAGCACGGCTAAGAAACAAACCAAAAGCAGGCAGCTACAGAGAGAGGCTCGCAGGAGGATGAGCAACTTGCTAAAGGTTTAAACAGCAGCTCGTGTTTGAATCTGTGTGAAAGTGTGCAGCACTGTTCTCTTTGTTGGAGTGGAAAAATGAGACAAAGATGAGGGATCTGTTGAGCCTCATCCACCCATGTACACACATACACAAGCAGTAAAATCTGGTGTAAAATAATTAAGAAGGGAACAAGGTGGGTTTGAGGATTGAGTCAAGCTGGGAAGACCAAGGATGCCATACCTGTTGTGCAAGAGAATGGATTTCCTGCTAGAAACGGCATTTACAGCAGGATGAATATTTACATGGCATATTTTAAGTATTTATCTATACCGATAGAAATGTGCAAACATACCAATGTCAAAGCCCTGTAGCTGAATTTCCCAAGCTAAAGAAACCTTGCACTTGCTGTTTCTGAGGGAAGGGAAAAATGCAATTGTTAAAAAAATAATATAACAATAAAAACAATTAAGATCAAAGTCTTTTACCATTGCAGTACTGAACCAGACTCTAAAAGAACTGTTAATTGGGCTTTCATTTGCAACTAAAAGCTGCAAATCCATTTAACAGCAGATTATGTAAGAAAATAAAACTAGCTGAGATAACAAATCTGTAAAACCCTGTATTTATATTTACAATTAATTTCTAAAAGCAGTTACATTAAATTATTAAACTCTAATCCAAGTTTCTGAATAAACAAAGCAATTTCTAATATTAATTAAAAAGAAACAGTGACATGGTGATAAAATGGGTGAACTTATCTGAGTGATAAATATAAGAACTGTTAGGACAATAAATTGTGTTCATTTTATGCCTTAGTTTGTAAATACACCAGAAAAAAAAAAAAGCCATCACCATTAAGATCCTTGTAGAATAACATCTCTGAAGTTTTTTTATTTTTTAAAACACAACTGTAAAAATGTTCATATCCTAAAGCACTAATTACCTTTTGAAAAAATGAAAACACATTTGTAACTCCTTCATTCATCTCTAAAACCAGAACTACTCAATGTTCTATATCATGGGGAAACATCTGAAAACAGAGATTGCAAATGGAGAATCCATCATGTGCAGAAAGGCCACAAATGCTCCTTTTACCACTTAAATAAGCTACGTTTTACTAGGATGGAATCAAATGCTTTTTCCAGCACTTTGTGTTCACTGAGGTGCCCCCAGCAAAAGGATTTTCAAGGAAACTGCGATCCTCATCCAAGGGTCCTAATTCAAAGCAAACTCTCTCTGAAGCCATCACGAGGACAACAGGCTGATCAGCCAATTTAAAAGCTGGATACACAAACTCAAAGAGCAGGAAAGACAGACATTCCAGGCTCAGCCAGAGGAAAATAAAACAGTCAGAGGATAAGTCCAGTCGAGTGTAAATACATCTGACTGTGCAACTTCCTCCTGACACAACCAACCAAACCTCTCTGATGTACTGTTCCTACGTGGTGGTCAACTGACTGTGCTCTTTCCCCTGGGCAAGGGTCAGGAGCCCTCCTGGGGCATTCCCGCCGTGCCAGGGAACATTTTCCTCTGGTCCTGTGCCTGCTGGGACAGGGCACGCCTTGGGTCACTCCCAGGTTATCCTGACTGCACCTGTCAGACCTGACACTGGAGCAGGGGCCAATCCCTGCCATTGACCTGTATGCAGGAATTCCATCCCCTCCTGAGGCAGCATCCCACAAGCAGGGGAGAGCAGCTCTCCAGTCTGACACAAGTCGCAAAGTCTCGACTCTAAAAGGTGCTGAGCAGCTCAGGAGCTTCCTGTGGGAAGAAAGCAGTGGGTGGAGAGGAGCACCAGTGCTTAGGCACCTGTTCTCCAAGGTGTGCACGCTGTGTTTCCAAAAATGCCTCAGCCAAAGCCCCACAGGGCTGGGAGCTGCAGCTGCTGCTCACAGTCACAGGAACAGACACCCAGGGGCTCAGGTGATGGCCCCATTTCCTGAGTGGATTTAGCTGATTCCACACTGAGGTCTTGTTTATGAGTCTCACCTGACAGTGCTCACCAGCTCCTCCATCACTCATCTGCAGCCTCTTTTCAGGTGAGAACCTCTGGGGAGGAGCTGTGGCTTTCCTGAAAAGCAGAGCAGGGCTTTTGGTATAATCTGCACTGAGGTAAACAATAATCAAAACTTTATATACTGTGTTACTGCAAACTAGGTCATAGGGACAAGGTGAAGGCAAGGAAATAAAAAGAGTTTTTGGAATTGTATCTGTGTTCACCTAACTTGAACAAATGCACCAAAAATTCTAAAACATCAACAAAAAGCCTCACCAGTAATTTAAATAGGCCATTTCACAGCATTTTACTTGTTGCACTTTTGTGTGCTTTAAAAACATCACACAACCCCCCCATATTTGTGTATCATTTTGATACAGGGTTTTTGCAACTGTGCCAGTTCCATTTTACTATAGTCTGTCAGCACATATATAGGAAATGTATTTTTAAGCTACTACTGATTGGTCAGATATTTCATAAGTGTAAATTTCTGTTCCATGTTCAGCTAACTCCATAAGGCATTGGTCAGAAACACTGTACTAATTCAAAATGAAATTGCAGAAAAAATGCTTAATATTACACAGCAAGTAAAACAGATGAAAGTATAAAGCAGCAGATGCTTTAACTCTGCAATTATTTGTCCAGTGACTATAAGCAGAAAAATAATTTTTAAATTATTCCTAGGGAACCTATTTTTGAAATTAAGTGTGAAAAGGCATAACTGAAACTGTTAAGAGTAAAAAAACAATCCTTAAAATCCTAAAAGCAATGGCCTTGTGCTGGGCCTTGAAGTCCAAATTACTCTTACTATGGCATTCCAGAGTTTGGATCTTGTGCAGGCCTGGTCAGGAAGTGAATTTTATCCTCAACAGCAGGCAGGATATTAAGAGCAACACAGAAAATGATGCTGGCTGCACTTGGAGGTCACTGAAATTGGAGCCATTTGGGGTGAACTGCCTTGAAATTAAACTCAGAACTAGTGATTTCCAATGAGATTTGCTTGTCCATCACCCTGGCAAACCAGGGCCACAGGGAAGGTCCTGGTTCTAACTCAAGGCAAATCCTCAGGACAGGTGGCAGATTCTTGTCCCTCACATCCCTGTGCATCAGGATTTCTAGAGGATAACAAGTGGAAGAAAAACACTGCATGGCGTAAAACCTGATCTGCTCACAAGAAATGTGGCCATTATTATTTCATTTGATGCTTTTCATTACAAGGAAGGAGATGCACAAATCCAGTACTGAAAGTGTCTCTTGAATCAAGTCATCTTTTGGTGTATTCAGAGTGTGTCAAAAGGGAGAAACTAAAGCAAAACTTAAAACTAGTATCACTCATTTTATCATAATGGTGCTATGCTGTAAAAATAGTATTTTTAAAGAGTACTTCAAATTCATCAATGTACAACAGAGTTTCTGTTTTGGAGTCCACAATCCACATGCATAGAACAGGTATCAGAATGAGAGGACAGCAAAGATGCCTCAGGTCCAGACAGAGATGGTGCTAGGCTGGGGCCCGTGAGCTGACACAGGCTCCTCCAGAAGCAGCACAGGGTCTGTGGCCAGGCCTTGCTGCCCCAGGTCCCTGCTTGTCCTGTGCTGTGAGCTGTCAAGGGTGGGGAGCTGGTCCTGGCTGGCAGCCACACATCTGCCCAGCTGCTTCACCCTCCAGCAGGACAGGAGAGAAAACAGGGGGAGAAAGAGCAAGAAAACTCATTTGTTGGAATATAGATGGGGAAATGACTTACCAAGTACTGTTGAGGACTAAACAGACACAACTCAGGGAATTCAATTTATTATTTTGGGGAAAAGGTTGACAAACTTTAACATATCTTCCCTCAAAGTTTCCCCAGGGTCAACTCATTCCAGGCCCTGCTCTGCTCCCTTGTTACCACAGCAATTGTCAGTCAGTCCCTTGAGTGAGGCAGGGGGCAACCAGAAGCTTCTTGGGGCAGGTTTTGTTCCAGGTACAAAGTGGCCTCTCTGTGCTGCACCTGCCTTCTCTCTCTTCCTGTGCTCTGACATTGTTGCTCCGTGGGCTGCAGTCCTTTTATGACAGTACTTGCACTGGTATGGATCATCCCCAGAATCACTTTATTTTGTGCAGCAAGTTTAAAACTGGTCCAGGGATTATTCCAGGGTAAACTCTTAACCAAAAAAAACCCTTTCTCCTATTTTGGCTGGTTCATGAGCACCAGAGGAAAACAAAAGTAGTATCAAAACAGTCAAACACCAGATTTCCTACAGTCATTTTTTTTTCCTACAGTCATCCTACATTTTTTGCCTATATTTAAGGGAAATTAAGCAAACCTTTTATCCATTAACCCAGATAGCTCACTTCTTTGAGAAGGATCCCCCTAAAGCTTTAAAGCACACTCTGGAGTACGCTGAACATGCTCTGCACCACACCTGCTCTGGGCACACAGGGCCAGGCTGCAGAGACTGTGCCAGCGCTCCAGCACATCATGTGGGGCCACACCAGCAGCCCTCAGCAAAGCTCTGACTTGTACTATCACCCAGATTCAGAACATAAACCACAGCCAGCTGGGAGTTTCTGTTATTCCACATGGCCACTTCAGACCAACATCCCAGACTCCCAGCCCTTCCAGGCAATCCTTAAGTAACTTGTAACTCTGCTCAGTGGCCACGCACAGACAAATGCTGCACAGATGAGGACTTCTGTTCTAAGGCTGGACTTGCATTAGAATGTCTGAACAAGACAGAAAACAACCATCCAAGGCCATGGGGAGGAGCTGTAATGGGGAACAGTTGTTTGCAAGAAAAAGGATCTCTCCAAAGCCAGCTGTGAGAGGCAGCAGTCAGGCAAGGACAGAGCTCATCAGTCTTCAAAACAATAAAAAAATTCTGTCAGCTCTGGTAAGAACTTTCCAGCAGGTGAAGCAATTGCTTCATCAAACTGGGGATCTATTTCATGACTGGATGTGATTTCAGAAATCAGCATTTTTAACTGACCAAAAAACAAAAACAGCTGCTGAAATTCCACCCACCTGAACCCTCTGGAAAACTAGCCAGGTGGAGAAAAAAATCCTCATCAGCACTCCAACAGATGCTGCTCCATATTCATATTTAACAGCTTTCCCCTTTCCTAGTCACTTCATCCAGATGTTCCAGAAGGTACTGGAAGTTCAATTAGAGGTGACATTTTATAAGTGCAAAGTAAAAACAACTCCATATTTATCATTCTGGAGTGAACCTGTCCAACAAACACAGCTCCCTTCATGTAAGGCAGCTCACACACCTCACAGCACAGCTCACCTCATGCTTGACCACACACTGCCCCACTGCTTCACAAAAGAAGACAGGCCTGAGCTTCATGGGATTTGAAATTCCACACATTTAAATGTTTTCTACAGATTCACTGAAGTAGAAATGCAGAACATGTGAGGAAAATCCCAACCAAGGGTTTCCAAAAAGGAAGACCTGCAGTAAGGTACTACCATAGAGACTCTGTTGTGTTCCTGTGTTAATCCTGCTTGGTTTATAGCAAGAGTTGGAATGAACTCACTGACACCAGGTTCAGCTTGGCAAAACAAAGTTTCAGTACACAGGAAAACAAGAACTTTTCCAGAATTTAGTCTTCCATGTGCATGACAAACACCACTCCAAAGGGATGTTTTCATTGAAGTTCATTTCATTTCACTTAAGTGGAGAATGCCCAAACCATATCAAATTTGTGTGAAAAACTGTCTTTCTTCTGTTTTTCCAGCTCCTCAAAGATTAAATGGATATCTGAATTTATTTTAAGACTTCTAGAAAGCTTAACACACCTTCAGAAATAGCTCCTATGACTGAAAGCTCAGAAGTGTTAATATTTTCTTGCCTTCTGAAATCTGGTAACAAATAAGAAATAATTTTTTTATATAGGGAACAATGAGAAGCTTATAAAAAACCCATGCAATGATTCTGTCCTTCATGTCTGCACACTCCAGAAGCCACAGCACAAACACCAGAATCTGCTCTCCAGCTGTTGTTTGGAAGTGTGATCCACACAGTCCCTCAGTGCTGAGCCAAAATGGGCACAATTCCTCAGCCATGGAATCAGAGGGGAAAAAGAGAGCAACCCCCATTCCCATCCCTCCACACAGCAGGGAGGGCAGCTGGACCCAAACTCCTTCCCAAGCTGTCCACTGCTGCTGTCACCCCGCTGTGCCGGGCCAAATCCAGGCTCATACCTCTGGAGTGCAGCTCTGGGGAGAAGCAGCAGCTTCAAAGGTTCAGCAGCTCTCTGTTATTATATTACAGCATATACACACTTGGCACATAGGGGTATCATCATTAAACAGAGCAAGGCATGGCCAGAGAAAGTGACTTTAGTCCTGCAGGCAAAAAAAAAAAAAAAAAAGGCAAAACTACTGGCCTGAAGTGGCCAGTCCCTTCACTATCTCCTACTACAACCTATTTGTCTGTATAAATACTGTTTTCTTGGTATTTTAGGGGCTATTTTTTCCCTTAGGAAAAGTGGTGCTGCCAGGGAAAACAGCACACTGACATAAAACCACAGAATTTGCCTGTGCTTAAAGAAAAGATGGAAGAGGGAAAAGAATTTTAAAAGCTAAACACAGTTATTTCATCACATCTTAATTCTGGGATGTGAGAAACCCTTATTTATTAACAGTAATATGTTAGGTTGTTCAACCATTAAATTTCAAGAATGTGCCTATTAACAAGTCTGCTGATTAGGATTAATTAGGGAGTGGAATTTCTTACATGGTACCTGATCACAGAGTTTAGAGGAAGTACAAAAAACTCACAAGAATTCACAAATCCTACAACAAAGCAATCAAACTGCAGATGCTGAAATATTTTATACAAAGCTACATTTGCTTCAAGAACCCTTACCTGCAACGGTCAGGCAGTGACCAGGGCCAGAGAAAAAGCAAGGTCCAACACCCACCTGGGTAACTTGCCTTTAATTCTTGTCCCTGAAGAGACCAAGTGCACAGAGCACACTGAGGATTCATCTGCCAATTCTGCCCTCAGCAGTGCTCTGAACCTAAATTCACTGGGATTTTAATGGCAAATATCCTGCTGAGGACTCACAGAATAGTCTGGGATGGAAGGGGCCTTTAAAGGCCATCCAGTCCAACCCACCTGCAACGAGCAAGTGTTAATAAACCTTCCTACAAACCTACAAATACTGTAAGTAGCAGAACTTCTCAATAATCTAGCCCCAAAACTTCCCCTCAATTAAAAAGAAACAAAGTTAGTCCCAATACAATAAATCTACCCCCCTTGGTATCACAAGTCTTAATTTCTAACATGGCAGCAGCTCTGTCATTTAAAATATACACCTTGTTAATTACTGCAATTAAAACCAAATAGCTTTAGATGTTAAAAAAATATTTATTTCAATTCTGTATACAAAAAAATGACAAAACAAGTGAATATTTATTAGTACTGACAATTTTTGTGACTATTTAATGGCATGTATGTCTAAGCTCACTTTACAAAACCAAATCCTTATAGAATTGTAATCAGGTTTTTGATTTTCCTTAAGTATCTCTTTTACCTGACTAGCAGCACATATGCTCTTAAATAAGTATATGCTTATATATATGTATATGATTATAAGTATGCTTTTAAAAAAGTAAAGTATCAGAGCTTAACACACACAGTATGTTACACTGCCACTTTTGACCAGAATATTAAAGGATTTCTGAGGAACCAATACTACATCTTTATCATTTACATCCAATTATTACCTGCTGAGAAAAGTATGCAGGCTTTTGAGACTTATATTCAGTGAACATAAACTTGGTCTTCTGTAAAAGTGTCTGCTGTTTTATTCTATGACTACTGCATATATACAAAACCAACCAAGCCCAAGAACATACCAGGAATCAGAATTCTGTTTGTACCTGGAGTCCCATTGCAGTTGTGCCTATTGTGTCCCAAAACCCAAAGCCCAAAGTCTGCAGCAAACAAGAGCTTCCCCTACATACATTAGCTACAAACAAAAAGAGTAGGTGGCATTTATTTAAAGAACATAGAAAAAAAAAAAATCCTTTTAGGATGTTTTTCTGTATGAAATACACAGCACTGTTTTTTATATTAAAAAAAACAACCTCATAGAAAAGTAGACTTCATAAAGCACAGGTTGGTGAAACCCTTAAACTGCTTATCCTAATCCTCTACTCCATCAGTGCTGATGAGGAGATTCCAACAGGTCTGTGCCAAAGGCCAATAACCAAATTATTCCTCTGCAATGACACCTCTCTGCGATAGTTTGCAAATTCTTTTATTCTGAGGATAAAATGCCACACAATGAGTGATTTTTCAGGGCAGTACTGGAACCAAAGCCCTTGAGGTTCATCAGTTACCATTAACAGGCAGCAGTGCCACAGGCAGGACAGCCCTGTGTGGAGGTGTGCCCTGAGGGACAACCCTGAGCTCTCAGGCCTCATGTCAACTCCTCTGGTTGGGTAAGGAAATTCTTGAAAGTGAAGAATTCAAGGTACCCTGTGTTTAGGCATGATCTCCACAGGTCTACAAACCCTCAGGTCTGATACTGGTCTTCAAAGAAGATAAATATTGAGAAATAGTGGAATTTTTAAAACTGCATGAACAGCATATACAAAATAAAATTTCCAAGCCTTCTTAAAAAGTGAACCAGACACTTAAAAAAGGTATATTACTAAACAAATATATACTTTGTATGGCATAGCCACATACCTTTACAAAAAACTCCTAACAAATTGTTTCAGCTCTCTAAAGGGCAGCAGTTTTTGATTTAAAACATAAAAAGAAAGGCTTTAGGAAAACATAAGTAGTTACAACTCAGTTTTATCACATCTGAGCTCTGTACAATATGGTGTGAGGAAGACTGCAACACTGAAGTTTGTATTACAGTAAGGACAGCAGGGAAAGGATAGCTGCAACTATTTGTCTGCTCAAAAGCTTAAACCTAGACTCAACTGACATGGCCCAACCACTGTCATCAAAGCAATCTTTTCAAGTGTCATTCACATGGCAATCCCAAAAAATGAGCTGGTCATCACAGATACCTGAGAAAGGTTCATAAGGAAAAATTGCATAGTTTTAATGTTACATAGAAAATGTAACATTTCATCTGCAATGGATGAAGAAAGTCTGTTGTCTGAGAACATCAGCAGTCAAGAAGCCAAGGAATTCTTAAAGCTATACAAAATAATTTAAGGAAAAAAGACAGTTTGGTAAAATCATCAGTCTTCTTCCATTTAAGGTGCATTAAGATGGAGACAGGCAAAGATCACATTTTGATTCTTATCTCACATTTCTTATTCAAGTTCCAACTTTGAGTCTCTGAACTCACAAAATCCTATGCAGTTTTGCAACAAGTAGTAAAAATAATGGAAGAAAGATTATAAATTACTCTGTAAATTACAGATTACAAATAAATCTGTAAGTATTTTTTTAAGTCTGAATGGCACTTTACAATTTACATCAACACCTGCCAACTTCATCGTCTGTCAAACCTACGAAGCCTTCGCCTTCTCATGTCCTCTTCTGAGTTCTCAGGTGGGAACCAAAACCCATAAGGTTGCTGCTCATTCCTGTGTGTTCCTCCACCAAAATCTGCAAGACACAATGAAAAACAACTGCTATTTTGGTCTGTAATAGGAGAAAAATGCACATATATCCTGTAAGCCAAAGCATCACAACACAAAGGAGACAGGGAATTGAATGTTTTCAATTCTGATGGTTTCAGGGCAATTACAACTTCCAGAAACTGCTCTTAAAGACAGTCAAACAAAAAGAAAAACCAAAACCAGAACCCCCCCTCCAACAATAAAGCTACCACCACCCAAAAAACCACCCCAACCCAACAACAAAACCAAACCAAACAACAAACCACAACCAAAAGAACATCTAACAAGTTAAGAATAACAAGTATTAGCAAGTATTCACATTTTTCATGATCCCTACTTTACACAGTAAACTCCAGAATATTAAACTATTTCAATGTCCTCAGCAGTTGTTTCTGGCAAAAGCAGCTTTTGTGTTTGCTTTTAGTACCGAGTCCAACATGTGCAGACCCACAGCAGATGCACACACAGCTCCCACCCCCAGCTGGCAGCAGTTTCACAAGGGAAGGACACGTGGCAGCCCAACCATACAAACTGTAAGCAAAATAATCTGAGCAGCAAGAGCATAGCCAGCCCCACAGGTGTGGGCCCTGGCACCCCGAGAGGAGGTGACTGCAGCAGCTCTCCAGAACTCACATCGAGTCAGCCAGCAAAGAAACAACCCAAGGCTTGCTTACACACACCAGCTCAGCTGAGGGGCTCTGGGAAACAAAAAATCACAGTCTGCCTTCTGAGCAGAATTACAGTGCTCAGGACACAAAAATTAGCTTTAAGGGTAATAAAACCTTTTTAACATTAAGCATTTCTTAAGCTTTCACCTGCCTCACATAGGATCAAAACTGAATTGTAATGCTGGAGTTTAATAATTGATTTTAAATCATCACTTTTAAACATTTTAAAAAAATTATTTTCAGTAGTGAAATTGTCAGCCAAATATCAAAGTTTCTTATAAAAACATTTATTTTTCTACATAGCATACCAGGTTAATTTTTATTTAAGAAAACAAATACCACTTACACAGTTAAGACATGTCCTTGCACAGTCCCCATAAAATATGCCCAACACTTCAAATATACATGTGCTTTAACAATCACTAGTAATAGAATGAGGTGCTATAAAAAAGATGAAAAATGCTCTTTTATATATTGACCCAAAAATAAAAGGCTAGACAATATATTTTTAAAAGCTTTAGGTTGAAGAAAAGATCTTATTTTACATCAAACAACATGGTGAACAGCAAAGGCTGGATGTTTTAAATACGTGTATTTGTATCAGCATGTAGATATTTAAATTATCCTGTTACCTAAAATAGTTCCCTGACACCTTTTTTCTTTTAATTACAGCAGAAATATTAATGAAATAACACCTTTATCTTATCAAAATATTTATAAGCCACAGTGTTCAGAAATGGTAATTAGGCCACTGCTACTACTAAAACACCATCTGACGTCTGTGCAAGGAACCAACACAGGCTTTTCAACAAATCAGCAAAAACAAATTGAAGACTAATGAAATCTAAGCCTGCATTTAAAGGATATGGAAAACTGCAACAACACTGATAGACAAAACCAAAGGATATAGCACAACAAACTTATAACAAAACATTAACCCTTCCATTGCATATTTTACAACTTTATTGTGAACTAGAACCATGTTCTGTGAAATACAGAAGACTGAGACCCCAATCCCCATCCTGTCACTCTGTGTAGAAGTTTCTTTTGTTACTGAAGTTAACAATTATAGCACTATGGACCAAAACAAGAAAATTGCTGTAATTGCAACAGATGTAACTAAACCTGTGTTAATGCAATGCTGCAGAAGTGTTACATCAAACATTCTCACTTAATTTTTCTTCTTCTCTGAAGTTATGACCTTATTTTTAGGTTTGATAATAGAATTTGCAAGACAGTTTCTGTAAGATTCAGAAGTAATATGTCAAGCTACCAAACTGTGAAAGTCTCACTAGTAGAAGTATGCAATTAGGTCTGATGAGAGGAGTGCAAAAAAAAAAATAGCAGAGGTAATACAAAGCAGTATGTCTGTATTTCTTTTTCATGCCAGCTTTAGTTGTGTTAAAGAAGCATCTAGAACACTTCAGTTGAACAGCTTACCATTTTCAGTATCACCATCTGTCCTGGCACTACTGAATGTGGTATCCATACAAAAACCAAACTATACAAACACTTAAATACCCATACAAAGAATTGACACTTCTCATTTCTAAAAAAACTCTTCCTTTCGGAGAGGCTTTGCTGTAAAAGATAATCACAGACAGCAGCAAGGACCATACAGCTAAGCAAAACAGAGAGCTTGATCAGGATATTTGATCAAATGTTATAACTTCCTTGCTTGGTTTTAATTTATACCAGTTTTATATAAACTATCTCTTCCATAAATAGTATAGCCCTGCTTATTATGTTATAACAACAGAATGTAATTAAAGTTTACTAACCAGAGCTTGGGTGTGCTACAGATCCCATACAGTGTGCTGCACTGAACACCTGACTTGCCTTGTTTTTTAATGAAAAATACCAATGTTTAAAGTGCTCTTTCTATTTGAGAAAATGGGAGTTCTCTTAATTTATAAACATCCAAAGATTTATTTTTTTTTCCCAAAGAAGCAACGAGGTTGGACAAGACCTTTGAGATCATCGAGTCCAGCCTATGACCCAACACCACCTTATCAGGCAGACACTGGCACTGAGTGCCATATCCAACCTTTTCTTAAACACCTCCAGGGACTGTGAATGCACAACCTCCCTGGACAGCTCATTCCAAGGTATTTTTGATGCATTTGGAGTTAGAAACAGCAAACTGGAGGGCAGCAAGAAGCCAGAGTCAAAAGGTCAGCATTGCTCTATTCATTTCATCTATTCCAGCCAATGCTTTAGGTTTAATCAAACTCCCTTATGATTTACTGAGCTGAACAGAGAATCCCAAGGAAAGGCAGTGCAGGCATTTTTCCTCCTTTCATACTTTAGAAGGACTAGGAGGCTTCCAGAAAGAGCTGAGACACAAAAACCAGCAACCATTTCACTGCTTGAGTTTCACTAGGAGTCAGACAGAAACTACAACTGAATAAAAAATGCAACATGGCAAAACTGCTTTTATTCTCTCCTGTCCTTCCCTCTGCAAAATGCAGAAATGCTATACAGTCTGAGAGTTTTGGCTTTTAATACTTATCACTGCCCCATTTTTTCCTACTTGGCTCCAAGTAGACCACATTCATTAGCCTTTGCTATTGTTTCTAACACAGCCTTTTGAGTTTCTGTCAATGTATGAAAAGAATTTTGTCATGCTATGAAGCAAACTATTCTTCCTGGTGCTGATGCCAATGTCTCATCTACAGACTTCAACATAAACTGGTGAAGAAGAGAAATGGAATTAACTCCTGTTTCTGTGCTATGCTTTGAAACGGCTGACAAATGAAACATCAAATTATCAGGAAAGTAGCTGAGTGTAATGAATTAAGAAGGAAAGCAACATACAATGAATCCAGACACAGCTGGATTGTTACAAGAGCAAGCCAGAACAATTTTGAACAGTGTCTGTCTCTCTCTTGTTTTTAAAAGGAGATGGTAAAATTGAGAAATACACAAAACCATTCCCTCGCAAAAGTCAGATAATTTATTTTGGTTAGGAGAGTAGATGGCTAAAGACTTAATCTTTAATCCCTTCATACTTCAGGATTTTTATATTTCATCGTGCTTCAAAAGCTTATCTTTCCTGTATCAGTACCACCAAAATAAACTTTTTTTAAAGTAACAAATTATTAAAAGCACACTGGTAACATTTTTGGAATCCATCAATCTCTATCTCATAAGCCAAAATCTTACACACTTGCACACTCAGATCATCCATTTGCTACAAATAATCACCACTACAATGCAGAAGTAAGATAGAGACCACTGCTGGAGTTGATGCTCTTCTGCAAAGAATCAAGGGGATTAGTTTTTACAGCTACCTCCAGCTACCGTTTAGCTGGATACTGAAAATACTACAGAAGAGATGGCATAAAATAATCTCACTGCATTTCCCAGCCATTTAATTCATATTTAACTCCATATGTTAATTCACCTAAAACAAGGCTAACCTCATTATTAACTGAAAACAGTTGATACATTTAGTTAATTACGTCTTTCCCAAGTATTAAATGGAATTTACTAACCAACTCAAAAAACCCTATATAAACATTCTACTTAACCAGTCCCTAGGCTAAGACAGACTGACAGCTATTCTTCTCCTGAGTAGTAAGAAATCTATGAATAATTTCAGTTAGAAGAATTTCAGGTGGGCTGTATATTTATCATAATGTAGCAGAAGCATTTTGTTGAGCTGCAAATAGCAAGGTACGCTTTTCCTTAGAAAATGACTAATTTATTATTCAGACGTAAAAAAGAGAGTTCAGAACATAATTTTTTAAATGGTCCCAATGAAAAAAAAAAATGTAAACTGTATACATAATTTATAGAATTAATCCAATGATAAACCAAAGTTAAAATAGTATGCTATGGATAAATTTAAAATTAGGAATATTCATTGGCCTTAGTTTACCAGTAAAAACATTCCCAGAATAAGCTTGCTAACATTTGCAAGAATCTTACACTACAAAAAACCACTTTGCTTTCCCGTTACTGCATTTCTGCTTGTGCAACAAAGACCCACAGCAACAAAGGAATTCTGAACAATATCCCTTTCCCAATGCCAAGCCTGAGAAACCCAGATGGATGGATGGAGATACCAATGCACACTGGAGCCACTCCCCATCAGCTCCCACTTTCTCCAAGGCTAAGGGATGCTTTTGTGCAGCCCACACACAGCTCCTGCTAATGATGCCCACAGCTGGGAAGCAGAAGTGCTGCTCTCCAGCAAGGTGACCCTGCCAAACCCACTGTGAAAGGAACAACTTTTGTTCCTTTATGAACAAGTTCAAGTTACTGAGTGAAAAAAATATTTTCCAGAGACCACTGAAGTCAGAGAAGACTCCCATTTGTATAACTGGGTCTTGGATCAAACATTAAGAGGTCTCTACCTCCATATGCAAATCATGTTTTTAAAATAGGTGTAATGTGTGTATGTATGCAAACCACCTCTAGCAACATCCAAGATTTAACTATTTTTAGTGTTTTCCTCCTATTTTAACTGTCTTCAGCAACTGAAACAATTGCAGGAAGAAAATCATCCATAAGAAATGGCAGTACCTAAAAGTGTATTTGCATATTTAGGAACTCCCAGAAAAAAATACTCAATATTCTGTATACATTTCAGCACGAAAATCTGAATAAATTCTTACCTCAAAATCCATTGTAGCAATAGCAGGAACCTATGCCACTGTCAATTTGTTGCCCAAAGGGCAAAGGAAGCCAACCCTTTAGGCAGTATTTCCAAAAATCCCTGCTTTGCAGAACTGGTCTTTACCCCACAGTATTTCAGAGGTGCTAACTGGTCGTGGTACTGGTTTGAAAGAGAAATCCATGGTGAAAGGCTCAGTGGTTCATTTAACTCTTTTGGTGAACTTTAATCACCATTGTGAAGAGAACTGGGAGTTTTTTGGTTGTAATTTTCAGTAAACTTCTTATCCTACACCAGCCACTGTATTTATGAAGAGACAGATAGAAGAGAATTCATTAAATATTTATAAAATAATTCTGACTATGCTTCGTGTTGCAAGTGGTCATTTTCTGACACTAGTACCAAAACTTTCTGTGTGGAAATGATAAAAATTCATTGATTCATTTTCCCAAAAACTTTCTTAAGAAAATGCTGGTAATCAGACCATAGAGCACAGCTGCAGTTATAGAAAGGTATTTAGAACATGAGGTCTGCTCAATGGGTTTTCCAAGAAGTGTGTTGGGTACCATAATAAATGTAAGAATTTAAAATAAAAAAAAAACAACCAAAAAGAAATCCATCACATAAGTTGCATCTAATTCTCAAAGCATAAATCCCAGCATATGATTTCATGAAATGTATTTTAATCCAAAACAATGCACTGCATATTTGAGCACAATCTGCTTTAAGGTATTTCCACAGAAAACCACCATATTCAAGTGCAATGACCAGCATTTCTGTAATTGCAGAAAGAACAGGTAACACTGAAAATAAAATATACAGCATTTCTCCAGTCTCCTCACACAAATTCCATTCTTATATTACAATATTCCATGGGCTGGAAAATTTCAATGACTCCAATAAAAAGTCCTGTTTCAGTAGTAGCAAACAGGCATGGGAACCCTTCCAGGGAACAGGTAAGTCAGATGCCCAAGTATTTCCTAACTGTTCCAAGTGACTCTGATTAGCTCATACCTGGTCATCTAAAAGCTTTTGAGGGGAGAGATATTTATTGGTTTACTTTTAAATCATAAGTGAAGAAATGCATAGACAGTTCATGATAAAATGTAAGAGAAATGTCTATACCTGATACTTGTAGATATTTCTCTTCAGTCACAAACTATAAAGATTACCACCTCCATGTTTAAAAAGCTTTTGTGGAGAAACACCAGCTTGCAAAGGATTCTTAACATTACTGACACTGAAAATCAGACGCTGAGAAGCTCAACTCATATAAAATCCCAACACTCACCACAACAAAAATCCAAACCTACGTGCCACACAAATCAAGATATTTCTTCTGAGAAGAAAAGCAAGCACACAATAGATCAGAGATTTGGTTATATTGGGGTTACATTAAGGGTGGCTGGTAATACCAGCACTAAACAAAAATGTCAGCTGTGTATTTGAACTTCATAGTAAAAGGAGTTTAAATATCAAAAGCTATGACTTTTTTAAATCCAAAATTATTTTCTTAAGTAAAGGAAGAATTAATGCAATTTGAAACCAATATAAAATTATGAGAATAACAATAAAAATTTTAAAAAAACCCAAACCAAACTAAACTAACAAACTCTGGAGAGAAAACCAATTAATGTTGCTTAAATGGTTTCTTTTTTGAGGAAACAACATAACTACAACTGAGAATGGAAAAAACTTAAGCAGCAGCTCCTTTCAACAAAGAGACCTAAATCACTAAAATAGTTTGATAGTCTTAAAATTGATGCTTCCATAGATCTCAAGCTTAGCAATTTCTTTTCTTGCACTAAACTCTAATTACTATTAATACAGAAATTTTCAGGATATTGCATAAAAACAGATCTGCAGTTCAGGAATGCCTGAATGTGGAGTAAACAGAAATGGTGTATCTTTAGGGTGGGTTTAGATAGGCCATGTATGATTTTAGAGAGCAGTATCTACTGAGCTTAAATTCAATGCATGTCTTAATACAAATTATTTTTTAGTTGTGGACAACAGCTAATACCAGGAAATTCTGTATTATGTAATTAATTCTTTTATTAGCTTAGCAGGATACTATCACAGCAATTTATAGGAATGGATCAACATTCTATATCCATAATGGTACATTTTGTGGCCTAGAAGCCATAATAAATGTACTTGTCCAAATAAGGATGAAAAAAATATTATTAATCAATTGAAATTATTGGAGTACTCTGTTGTCCAAGTTACAGAGCAGCTGTGATAGTTTAAATCTCACAGATGGGGAAAAAAATATGGGAGCTTTAAATTTATTGTGGTACCTGTTATTACAACCTATTTCAAATTATTTTATGTAATTTTTTGTCATGTTAAGTACCTGTTTCATCATCCATGTAATTGCAAGAATCTCTGAATGTTCATGCTTTAGGGAAAACGTATCGTGTTCAAAGGATAGTGCTCATTCAAGCTAATTATTTTTCAAACTAACTGACAGGGAAGAATATCCTAATTGCCCATTAGCACAGTAAATTTAATCTCATCCTTTGTATTCCTAAAACAGGTGTGATCAGTGACATGCTCTGTATTATGTTCTTTGTGAAATAAGACATCTGCCTATAGGCAAACTGAACCTTTACACAGCTTGTTTAAGGAAGTATTTTAAGAGCTCAAATCTTGGGTCTTGCTTGTCCAAACTGAAGTGTTCCAGCAGGTAGGAGAAAGAGGTGCAAAATAAAGCAAGATCCCTATATATTTGATCACACCAAATTATAATGGAAACAATATATGATGATACCTTTTCCTGCTTCAATTGCCTGTGAAAAAAACTAACCAGCACTGAAACCCTGCACTACCAGAGTGTTAAGAAACACTGCTTTTGTCAGGGAAGTTTAAAGTGAAACTTGGTTTGCCACAGCAATCTACAAGAGAGTACTACTGAAATTCATTCTTGTGTTTCATCAAAGGGTATTCTCAAAAAAAAATATTCCCTCTTATAGCATAAAACTTACCTTTGTTCAAAAACACAAGCTGACAAAAAATACCTCTTACCTGGAGTGCTGGAGATTATTTAAGGCTACAAATGAAAAGCTGCAGATGTTTCATAGTGATACATGTAAGCTTTTACAGTGCATACTGTCTACTTATTTATATTATAATCTTATTCCTGTTACTTGTATTCTGTTTCCTTCTAGTTCCTAGAAACTTCTACTTCAAAAAAACTCCACAAAAATGGCTCATTCTTTCACATAACATCTCAAAATACCTAATATTAAAAGCTTTGAAGAAGCTTAATATTAAAAGCTTCTCAAACTGTGTTAAAAATTATGTAAAATATCATCTTAGAAAGACCATAAAATAGACAATATCCCCTACAATAAAACTCATTTTATATCCATTCCTTCCCAAAATTACAAGATATGTCTAAAAATAAGTCATGAGGAATACATCTTGTTTTCCCTCCTGAGTCCCCTTCAGTATGAATCATAACTTGAGAGATAAAAATGCAATAAAATTCCTACCTCTTTCATTAAGGCTGTTTAGCACTGCCCTTTCAAGCTGTTCTTCTTCAGTGAGCCCACCTGTATAATCAAAGTAGTTCCTTGGAGTTCTGTGTTGATAATCTGGATAATAGCCATAATACTCTGTAAAATGAACCAAAAAATAAAATAAATTGCTGCTACTCAGCAAATGTGAAATCAGATACTATCTTCTTGCTATCTTTCTTCCACAAATTGATTTAATTTGGGAAAGAAAAAAATTATTAGGGTTCAATTACTTGTACAATATATGCCATGAATTAACTTCTAATTTAGAAAGCCAAAGCACGGTAACAGGAGAAAAAGAAAAAAAAACAAACAAAAAAACTGAAAAAAGATGGACCAAACATGTCAATATTTGGACACAAACTTTACTAGAACACAAACCAGGTACTGCTAAGGCGTTTTCTCCCCACCTCTCTTCCCCTTTCCCCCAGGGCCCACGAAACAATGCCATCATGAATTCCAGTCATCTTTGGACCTAGAGAAATCACAGGGAAAGACTCCTGCAACTTCCTCAAGTGCTGTACACAGCCCATGTTGTGCTCTGGCACAGCTAAACCTGCCCTGCAAGAAGCCAGCAGAGCACAGATCTCATCAGTGTCTCACTCACTGCTGACAACCCTTTCTGGCCTTTGCAAAGCTGGCCAAAACCAAGCACAGGCCATCATCCACCCAAACACATGGGATTCAAAAGGAAAAAAATTACTTGGCTAGAGAATTGAGCAAGACTCTCTTCCTGTTAACAACACAATCTAATCTTGCCTGAGCACAGAAAACCTAAGCTGAGAAAAATTATGGAAAAAGGACACACTTTTCAACTGAAGAAAACTATGGAGAAAAGTCCCATTTTTCTATTCCATTTCTGTATTTTCAAAACACAAAGCTTTTGTGATGTGCTCATTTCCAGACATCTGAACAAGGGATTTTGAAGAACCAAAGTACAGAAAGGTTGGCAGTTTCTTCCAACTGAGATAAAACTATACAAAGGTTAATCAAGATGAGTAAAGTGGAAATATTTTTGTTTGAAACAAGTACAGCAAGCCATTTCCCTTTTCTTCAGCTTATTAGCATCAATGATAGTCTTGTGTTCTCTCATTACTTCTATCAATTCCAGATGAAACTTGTGAAGGTTCTGTACTTAATAACAAATACAGATGACAAAGTGAGGACAAATAAGCAATTTCTTTTTAAAAATGATTTTGTTGAAAAAAAATATCCCAAGTCCTTTAGACAAATAAAACCAGCAATACTCTGTCTTGAAAGTTTCCCAGGAAAAGAGGAAAAACTGAACAGAGTAACTGCACAAAATTCTACATAAAATTATATATATTCCTCTGTATTTGCAAATATTCCTACATTGATTTTATATACACATGTACATGCACACAGATGTAGGTATACACACATTATACACACACGTTCTGTCTGTTTCTTGTCTTGGAACACAACTGACAATGGAAGATTTTTTCCTACACCTGCAGTGAAATCTGACTGAGGGACAGCATTTAGCTGTTATGTCGGTACACTTTGGATGCAATCTTTATATACTCCCCTCATTCTCCTCTGTTTTTTCTGTTAATCTGAATGAACATTTTCTCAGCTATGAATTTATTTACTGGAGGCTTTGAAACTACATGCATGAAGAGTGTAAAAATCCTGGTACTAAAAGCATGACATTATCTGATGAAAGCAAAATGATGCTGTATTTTAGGTTTGTTCTATTGCTGTAGTTCTTTCTGTTTTATGTTTCACACTGCCAGCAAGTTGTAAATGCTCAGCAAGCTGTAATCTTTTATTTTAAAACGAGACAGTTTGCTAACATTGACATGTTCAAGGTGTTCCTATTAATCAAAATAAATGTCCTAATACTTTATTCATGAACTGCACTTAGAGAAAACCTAATTCACCTACTGAATACTAAATGTGTTAAAATTACACTTAAAACCTTTTTTCTTTTAAAGCTGTTTCCTTGTGCTGTTTCGTAAAATCTGTTCTGACCATAATTTCATCTATTTTTCTCTTTAAATTGGTATTTAAAGGCACATAGCAATAAATCAGCAATTCCAGAAAGTGAGAAACTAATCAAGATATGCATCATTAGCCTATGACACTAGAGCGAGTTTTCTTCATTCACAGATGGTCCAATTTATTCCATATATCATACACCAAGCAAAAGGTTAAATCTTCCATTAAGGCTTCTGCAAATAGGATGAAAGACAATTACAAAGTATATGAACAGGGAATGAACATAACAAATATATATTTTCTTAACAGCAGTTGTCATTTTAGACAAATGACTTTAGTACAAAGTAAAAATTAAATGTTTATATCTGAAGGCTACTTTAAATTGTTATATCTAAAGGAACTTGGAGGACAGGATAATTCAGATTAACCTTCTCCATCTCCCCCTTGCCCAAAAGAACTCAAACTAACAGCATTTGGGGACTGCCCAAAACAGATTTCCTTGCTGTCCAGCATACTAAATTTTTTTTTCCCTCCCCATCACAGCAGATCTACTGTATGAAATCTCTTCCATTTTCCCTACTTGAAAAGAGCTGGGAAAGCAAACAGAAAGGGCTGTTCAGAATCTCTCTGCTGCTCCTTCATGAGGGGTGGTCTTGTATCCACCCAAGTTCCCAGCAGCTGGTGTTTGTGCAGGGGCTGTAATAGATCACAGAGTTTAAATGTCAAGTACTAATTCTTATCTTCATTAGCTATTAAAGGACTTTTTCCGACATAAATCTTTTGACTTTCCATCCACCCTGCTATTGTGGGATGCTGGAGGAAGGTTCAGTGTCTGTGAGCAGCTGGGCTGAGCCCCACCTTTACTTGGGCTGGGATTGCCAACCATGGGAACAGGTAACTTGTGAATGCTGTGTTCACATCTCATTTCACTTCACAGTAGTAATTGTTTTATTTCTTTACTGGCCTTTAGATCAAATGTTTTTTTAACTTGAGAGTAAATTAGAGTAACAAAAATCCTGGGTAAACATACTTTTAAATTGGAATAATCCCTGTTGCTGTTATTGAGGAAAGCATGCTAAGATCTTTTGTTTAGGAATTACAAAACAGATGTTTCAAAATATTTAAGAACCCAGAATCCTGCTTGTGGGAACTATTTAATGTAATAATAAAATTGGAGATAGATCATGGAAGACAAAGTCCATCAGGGAGAATAAAAGCAGCTATAAACTTGGCTCAAAGTAGCACATCTCACTTATAAAAGACTACACAAAATAAAAACCTCTTCTGATGAAACATCAGAGAACAGTAAGAATGATCAAACGTGTGAAATAGCTTCCTTATAAGCAACCAGACAGATTCCAACTTTCCAAATAGAGGGAAAAGACCATTTTGAGTACAGGACTGTAGCCTAAAAAACTAGTAAGGAAGGAAGTACACAAAGAATGAAGGTTCAGTCTCCCTCCCAAAGAAGAATTAATGTGTATCAAACAAAACTGGTAGTTAGCAGGTTCAAGCCAAACGAAAAAATGACAGATTCCAAACCAGGAAGCAAACTGTGAGTCTTTACTGATGATGTAGGTGTTAAGTGTTCATGTCAATTGAAAGAGCTTTTTTGAAAAATTCAAAGACAAACTGGTGGAAGAAGGAGCTACCACAGGCTATTAAAGACAAAATTCTCCCATAAAACTTTCTGCTGAGAACATCTTTAAGCCACAAGCCACTGCACACTGGGAGATATTTGAGAGAGTTATCACTATGTATTTATCTTATTCTTCCAGCAGATGCCTAGGAAAGAGCATAAAACACTGCAGGAGGGAAGAGATGCCAGGATATGCATCCCTTAGCTCAGATTCAACACCCAGAGCCCTTCTCTCAGCCTCTCCTGGCCCTCACAGACAAGGATTCCACCTATTAGATCTGTACACTCCACATGCAATGATTCAATGTTCTGCAGAAGTGAATCAAATGTGGTCCAGACAGTGCCAGCATTCCAGCTATTCATCTATAAACTGAGGATGGCCTAAATTCAGTCTGCTGAGGAGGGGCTTTTTGCACATAAATAACTTCATTTACAAAGACTGCTCCAAGGAAGATATCCTTGTTAGAAGAGAAAAACCACCCCGGAGTAGAACAGATAAATTTGCTGGATGAGGGCTTATTTACCAAGGTCCAAAAGGCTGCTTTTAGTAGACAAGATTTCCCCACTGCTACACCTTGTGCAAAAGGGATGATACTTCCCCGAGGTAGCATTTTAGGAAGTCATGACCTTAATTTGAGGCTTAAGCCTCGAATTTGTACAAATTTGTACTAAATCAGATCTGTAGAAAATCCATCCACATGCTTACCTGAAGAGGAAAGGTAAGACATGCCCAGAGAAGTAACGTAAGTTTAGCAAGTACACATATGCAGAATATTTTGTCTACTATGTATATTTCCATTTACATAGCTCTCCTATACATTTTCTAATCATTACCAAAAGGTATTTTTAAAGCTGGAATTAGTTTTTGGTTAAGTGGACAAGAGTACTTACCTGAATAGTGATTCCTTGGCCTGTCAGGTTCAGTGAAGAAAGAAAAGCCAGCTAAATAAAAGAATAATGCATATATTGTTAGAATAAACATATTTTCTTTAAATTCAAATTTAAAGTACCCTTTCTTTAAGAGTCTGATTCATAAGATACAGGCAGGAAATCAGTCATGGGTATCTGTGGATTGTTTTGGCATCATTGAGGGACTGTACTATTGCAAGCTTGTATGTTCCAGATTTTATAGAAGTGTGCTATGTTCATGCAACATATCAATGTAGACCAGAAAATTAGCAAACCTATAATGTTCTCCCCAGAAAGCACAACGAGCAATTTCTCTACTGAGAGTATTCATTATTAGTAATGTTTAATGAACAGAAAACTGAGGACTGGAGCATTATTCCTGCTTTGTCACATGAGAAAAAAAATGCCCTTGTACTGAACACTGCTTCCTTCACACACAACCTGCACAGCAGCCCAGTCTCCAGGGCAGGTTTCACTAACAGTACTGTGATGTTATCCCTGAATTCCCAGAGAAATTCATTGGAAGGGACCTCAGAAGGTTCCCCAGTCCAACTCCAAACCTGAGCAGTGTTAGTGAGGAGATCAGAGCAGGTTACTCAGTCAGGGCTGCATCATGCTAAAGTCCAAGGCTGGAGACTCTGAAGCTTCCCTGGCAGCTGAGCTGATGCCTGCCTGTTCTATAGTCATCATCCCATGGCACAGAATCATGCAAGGTTAACCTTTAACTAACGGGACACCTGATGTCTGCTCCCTCCAGTAAGGCAGGAAAGCTGATGCTTTGGTGTCCTTTTTTCCCTTCCAGCTGCTGAACATACATGACTTACAGACTATCCCCAAACTGTGATCCAAGCCCCAGTGAGAGCACACACATTTGAACAAATAATACCTTGCTATAAAAACACCATATCCATGCTCAATTTGATGGAACAGTCATGAATAAAGTACTCAACCTACCAAGCAGTCAGACATAAAAAGCCAAATATTCTTCCAACCAACCCCAGCACAGCTGTTGTGGCAGGGCTTAGATTTCCAATTAAAACACTGCCATTTATAGGAGTGTTCATTTAAAAGTTTGCAGGTCTGTATTTGAAACAACTGTTAAGACAAAAATGTTTAAAGCTAGAATCTTTTTTAAAAAGTAATTATTACTGCAATATGAAAAGCTGTAATAATACACTGTTGGAAAGCTCAAGAAATCCAGTAACAATTTCTTAAGTATCCTACCACCTCTTTCAAACTGTAGAGACTTCCATTAGAATCAACACAACAGTAGAAATCAAGAGGGAAACATTTTGTTCTTACATATGTTTATGGCTTCACCACACTTCATTTGAAGTTCCATTTTCATTCAAAGATTATACTATAAATAAATACTTTTAAAAAGAAGATTAAAAGATATTCCTCTGAGGAAGAATACCTGAAAGTCACACTTATTCTTAATTGTTCTTACCCATATATAAGAAAAAAATTTTAATTTTTTTCTTCTGCACCCACTTTAATAAAATGAGCATATCTTTAATTATCTAAAAACTTGCTGGAATAGGCTGAATTTATGCAAGACTTACTGAGTTTCAGAAGTGTTCCTTATGCAGATTTTGTAAATTCAACAAAATTATATACCTGCACAGGCTTGCATGATTTTTTTCAGAGGTCCCATAGTGTACATCAATCCAACAAGAATCCCTGACAGATGCCCAGCAAAAGAAGTCCTAGAAAATAAAAAAATCTTGAGTAATGGAAAGGGACACTTTTTTTGGTAGGGATACAAAAGGGAGAGTGTAGAATTTGTTGTAAAGTCTCTGAGACTTCCCTGACAAAGTCCCTGAGTGAGACCAAGCACAGAGACATTACCTGCCTGCAAGGATATAATCCCAAATTTTCTTTCTTTGTAACTACCTTAAACTTGGGAGTTACACAGTTACAGAAAAGGATTTTAAAAGTATCCTGAAAAATTGGAGAGATTCTTTTAGTTGCTACAGAATATCCTTTCCCTAAAAACAATTAAAGAGTTACCAAAGGACTAAACTGGTTTTAAGCTTTAGAAAAGTAACTTGCATTGTAATGTCTGAATGGATCTTACCAAAACCATGCACAGTTCTGAGTGAAAGCACAAACACAATACTTGCTCCTGCACTATCCATGCAATCCTACAATTAGTCTGAAAGAAGTATGAATGCAGTTCCATTGCAATCTTTGTAATACACTGCCTTCAAAATTGAAAGAACAATTGAAATGCTGTGATCCAAATTCTTTTCTATGCATACCAACAATTTCTTTAAAAATATCATTCGCATTTCTACACAGAATGAAAAGGCTCTGGAGTTTTTTGAGAGTGCAACCCAGAAGCATGTATTTTCATTAAATAAAGATTTTTGCTCTAGTTATTGACATGACTATGGGGTACTCTATACATTCAAAAATCAATTTTGAGCATTCAAATTAAGAGTTAAACTCTATTGTGTTTAAACATAAATTAAGAGAAAATCTTCTGAATTCAAGCAGGTGTAAACACTACTTGCAAATTTTTCACCTCTATTATGAAGTTGCAGAAGCCAATACATTAAACATTAACATCTCCTTGTATGTGCAATTAGAAATAACTCATTTATACTGGTTGTCAAAAAATCTAAATAATACAAGCTAAAATGAGATATTTTTTTTCCTTTATAAAGTAGAAGCTAAACCTTTGTTTAATGTACCAAGTGTAATGTTTGCATCAATTTTTACATTCACATCAGTGATCTGCAGGAGTTATACAGATGATGGCATGAGCACTCAAGCCAACTTCCAGGCATCAGTGGTAAAAGGAGACAGGAAACGTCACTAGAGGGAGGTAAAGATCAAATCTAAATTCACTCTTTTTGCCACCTACTTCACCACAAACTCATATCCTGCCATGAAGAACTGCAGTTCTCTCTTGTCAGTAACTAACAACTCTCTAAAGAGTAACACAAAAATGCTGACGTGAGCATTTATAGATAAAAGACAGTTATCAAAATAAAGTATCTATAAGGAACTAATTTTCCAAACAGATTTCTCTGGAACAGATATTCCAAATTTATGAAAAATGAATGCCCAACTTGGAAAATGTCTCACCTCAGAAAATGAAAAATACTTAAAAATCACTTACTCTAGAAATCACCAACATAATATTGGTTCACCTAAGACTTAGGATACCTGCCCAATTCTGGAAGAGGCACAGATTAAACAGAAAGCAACTTTTCACATGTCTGTTCTTACATTAAATAAATAAGCCCAAGGACTGCGAAGGAAATACAGATATATCTCAATACTCTTCACGGAAGATGAAGATTAGAAGCATACTGAATGCACTTTAAAATTCTTTCCAAAACAAAAACATTAATGAGAAATTAATGAGAAAGAAAATAGTAAGATGTCAATAGACTCCTAAATCCTCTCTCAGCACACAAATCAAAGTTTTCAAAAAGCTCAGTATAATTTTTGTACCTTTCATTGGTTATGGATTCTCAGGTGAACCTGTTACACCAGTCCAATAAGGCAGGTCCAGATTTACTGCATGACTTTCTAACTGGACAGAATTCTGCCCCAATTACTCACCTCTTATCTATTCAAAACGAAATTATGCAACTTGGTCTACAAAAGGAACCAGTTGAACACAGACTTCAAATATTATAACCTGTCCTGAGCACACAGATGTGCATGTAAGAGCAATGCTGTGAGTGCTATAATTGCTATGGTTCATTGCAAGGTAGTTGGCAGTTATTAATTAAACATGTTGTGTTCTAGGACTGAATTTCTGGAGGTCACTACCTGTTTTCTGTAGCCCCCATTATCCTTTAAGTTCTGTGAAACTGCCCTCTGTAGAGGCCACTGTAGAAGTTTAGATGAGGCAGAAATCTAAACTTTCATGAAATATTTTTTGATATTATTTCTGGACTTCTTATCCACTCTCTACCCAAAGACATTTCTATAGTAATGCAACTGAAAAAGAACAGCACACAATGTCTGAAATCATGTTTTTCCTCTACCATAAACAGTATGATATGGTTTTACTTCATACATAACGCTCTTCTACTGTTCTTTAATTAAAAACAGTATTGTAAAACATATCACCAAATAAAACCTATGTTCAGCTGAAACAGCAGTTTATATTTTTCCAAAAAATGTTTTAAATGTATTGAAAGCTTTAGTTTTATACTTGTAACAACGCCAAGCAGCTCACAAATAAAATTGTATTTGGGCAGAGCACTCTTCTGTCTTTAATCCTCACTGCAGTCAATTGAGCAGCCAGGCATAAAGCAATAAAAACAGTGCTTAACCTAAGCAATATTTGAATTCTCCTTCTGTGCTAGAAAATGTTCTATCAGCTATATCATAGTATCTGACAAGGAATATCTCAGTATTGCTGAGCCCTTTTTTTTTTAATCTTTCTGAAAAGTGGGAAATTGTACATAAACTGTGATTTGATCGTTCACAGGTTTTGTGTCTGTACTTTGCATATATTCAGCAATATGATTCACAGTTACAAAATATTACACAGGAAAATTACTCATTTGCAAATAGGACTACAAAAATCAACTGCCAAAGAACAGCAAGGCCCTGTTCTCCCGGAGGTAGGGGCAGATGAACTGTGCTGACACAGAGCACACAGGGAAACTGAGGGAGATGACCAGCAGCACAGCAGGACAGTGACACTGACAGTGACAAAATTGGCAGAATACCGGATGATAGTTTGATCATAAATCAGAGGAGTGACTAAGCCAGAGTGGGCTAGGACAGAAATGGCAAGCAAACAGTGAAATGCTGCTCAGGTAATGAAGCCCTTGGCACTATGGTGGAGTAGTTTTGTTACCTCATTGAAAAGGCACAGACCTTTTCCTTGTCCATCAACTTTTGTTATCTTCCCTCAAATACTCAATTACACCTTCTGGGAAGAGTATTTCAGGTTTTTAATTTGAGATATACTCAAAATACTGCAGACTGCAGCCCCAACACTGCACTGGGATACCAGCTAACACTACTCACACTTCATGAGACATTTCAAACTACTCCAGATTGCCCAAATCTCTTCTCCTTCCTATAAAATATTAAATGCACTTACCCTGGGGAGATTAAATGAATAGCCACCAGCTCCACCCAACAAGCATATTTACTAGCTATCGGCAATCCAAAGATATTGCTCACTCTTCCTGGATTATAATGGTTGTTTAGAACTTTCAAAGCAAACAAGACTCCTGCAAACAAGAAGAAATCACATGAAGAGAGAAATAATGCACAAATAATAAAGGAATGTAAACAATTTGAAGTACCATGCAGTGTCAAAGCACCATGAATCATACAGCTGCATGCCAGAACAGTTCTGTTCTTTCAGTGATACTTTTCAGTGACTTAAAAAAAAAATTACAAAAATTATGTATTTGTATAACAGCCAAATCTAAGCTGCTTTTTAATGTGCCTGCTCACTGTAGCTGTTCAGGTATTCAAAGTAATACAAACATAATTTAAAATGGGAGTTCTAGTTGAAATAATTGACAAAATTAGTGAATTCAAAAAAATGTTCTGTGATTTGAGAAAACCCATTACTGAAAACAAGGAAAACAAATACGTGTAAAACTCAACAGTAGGTACAAATTCTGGGTTAAGGGAAAATCATCTTAGACAAACTCCAGAATCATTTGTTTCTGAAAAAAAAAAGTAGATAAATCACTTTTAATCACAGTAAATATTATTAATTTTTACTGACTGCAACTGTTTTGTCATGCAACCACCAGCCAATATGAGGGAATGAATTCAGAGAACTTATTGGAAGTGCTTATGAAAACGTTCCTCTCAAGAGACAGCTCACAGTGGTCTGAAGAAAAACCCTGAAAAATTAGTAAGTAAAACTTCTGACATGGACATATCAAGGCTGGCACAGGCAGCCAAACCACTCAGGGAAAGAGGCTGCACTTGGGGCCTCTACAGCCCCTAGAAAGGCCGATATTAGAACTGGACATGTCTTGTTACCAAAGGGGGGTGCACAGAAAATACCTGTAGGTCCAAAGGAGCAACTCCCAGGATGTTCCAGCTTGTATCCACTGGAATATCCCAAGAAAACCTCAAAGGTGTTGAAGTAACTTTCTTAAAAGCTGAAAAAGAGTGCTTGCCTTCTAAGTCTAGGTCCCAGTGACAGCAAGGAAATCCCCTACTTATCTAGAAATGCAGGGCCACTTTTCCACTTGACTGTGCATTTTTTTAAAGAGAAGGAGTTTATTGACTTGAAAATGATCTGCTAAAGGAGAAGACAAGACCATTACTGGAAGGATGATAACCAAAATCAGGTGTTTGGATATTGCTAGCAGAAGCAAATCTAGGGGAGTCTCTCCAAAGACAGGCATGAATAATTTTAAACTGACAAGTTTTCTAGAAGCCACCTAAGGATCATTATTGAAATGCTTATACGGCACCAGAAAATTAAGAGTTCAGACTTCAATTAACCAGTGATACTAAACAGAAAACATAATTCTATCATGATAATGATATTTCATGTTCTCAGGTAAAGTTCTTGTCAGTCACAAGAAGATGAACTGAATTACTTTATGCCCATGCCCAGAGTACATGTTTTAAATTAAAAAATAGAATAAGCATACTGACATGACAATCATACATATATACAGATGTACACCTATCCTCTTCCTGCAATTAACAGTTACTGTTATGTAGCAACTGTACATATTAATTTGACACATGTAAATTGGACCAACTCTGTGTCTTACCTGAAAAACCTACACCACAATTCATTTCATAGGAATGATCATCCAGAATTATCACAAGCAGGAGCTCCAGCACCATGTAAACTACTCCAATCAGTACTGAAAATACTGCAATAATGTAGGCAAACCATATGCTCTTCAGCTTTTTTTCCAGCTTTATGCCCTTCCAAAGCATGGAAATCATGTTATAATACAAATGCCAATCATCTGCATGGTGGAAAGGAGCAAGTAGCAAACGCTGCCAGTTCTTTCTGTGGACAGCTTCATTTACACTGAGACACACTTCAGACAGTGGTTTCAAAGGATTCAGAAAGAGAAAAATATTCAGTAGAAGTACCCCAAGGGTAACAGAAGGAATGTTCTGGAGTCCAACTTGAGAAATTTGATAAAGCAGCAAAAGCAGTCCAGCACTAACTCCTCTTTGCCTTCGTTCCATTGTTACTTCTTATTCTTATTATCTTATTCTTATTATAAGAAATGTGAAGATTATTCCGATTTCCAGTCTTTTATTCAATTTCAAAACCATACAAGTTCTGGAAATTCTGAAAGAAAAAAGATAACTTGTTATATACGTATTTACATATTATATACACAGTGCTTTGAAGCTCATCACTGTTTTTTTTTGAGTTTTTAAACACAAAAAAAATCATCCAGGTAATCAGCTGAGACCTTTATATAGCAGAACAAAATTTCAAGTGAGGGAAAAAACCTCAGAATTTGTAAACTGATACAAAACACAAACAAAAGAGATTTATAGAGGCAATCCAGAGCAAGCACTGAGAGAAAAAGCAGTCTGCAACCTCTCACATCCCTGGACAGGCTGCACTTAATCTATTAAAATACTTGTGTATGCTAGACGTGTTTTCATTAATTCTGATTCAGTCAGAATAATTAAGATTTCAGGAAGTAAAACAGTTCAGAATTCTTCTATAGAGTCTCAGTTTCCAGAATTCCTATCTTTAGCACATATTTAAACTTTTTAATGACCACTTCTCCAACTTTCACAAATATTCAAAACAAGCTAAGCTTGAAAACTAAAAGTAATGATTTTTAAAAAAGGAACAGAGACACAGCTAAGCACACCTAGATACAATTTGAAAATTGTTACTGCTTTCATAGAGATGAGACTAAAGAGTTTAGTTTAGAAGTAAGCAAAGGAGAAAAGAAAACTATGGGAGAAATCATATACAAAATCAGCATATAAAATTTAAAGAGTTATAACACAATTTTCATCTCGGCCTTGTTTATGCCAGAAAAACCTAGGGGGTTAAAGAGGGCTACAGAAATAGATCTGGCTAGAAACAGAGTTACTGTGGCAGGAACTGACAAGAGAGGAAGGAGGAAGATGCGCTGGATAACACAGCACAGGGGGCTGTGGAGTTTCCAGAGGGTGGAAGCACCTGTGGTAGACAGAAAGAGACCTGGGATTTCAAGCTGGTTCTGAGGGCTACCCCAACTTGGCCAGTCCAGCTTTTACCTCTGAAAACTCTGCAAGGTGGCCCAACAACAGAACAGCCTCTCCTCCCCTCCAGGGTGTCCCTTATTTGTAGAACTACTGAAGATGCATATTATTCCAAGTGTAAGCATCAATTATATAGAGCCAGCAAAATATAACAACTATTCAAAACTCTGCTACCAGGTTTCACATGAAACTGCCTGAAATATTGAGATATATATAAAATTCTCATCTAAGCACCCCACTAGCCTTCTTTTTCACTATAAACAAAATAGTTAAAGTTGATAATATACTAATTTTTTATTTAAATGCCTTTCCTGTTCATACAGAACTATCCCTCTTCAATATTTTCATTAGAAAAACAAGCAACAATCTAATTCTTCTGGGGGACAGGAGGAAAAATTACACATTTATAAAGGACAGCTCAAGATTCAAAATTTAACCTTCTCCATTATGTCTGTTAAGATTTACTAAGTTTCACATTTCTACAGACCATTGCTATGTCTGTAAACACTTTACTAAAAATTTTTATTCAGTTATTCAGACTATTCTTAATAATTTGATTGAGATGCATTCCACAAAGTCAGTGAGCACATGGAAAAGAAGGAAAGCATCTCTGGATGATGCTATCTTGTAACAGACCTGCAGGGGGTGGAACATCAAAGACAACCCGGTAGGGGCCAGGCTACCTTCTCTGCTTATCCTGAAGTGAGGGGAGCACACAGTTCCATGCTAGTTCACACACAGAATTAATTAATGACACTTCTTATAATTATTTTTTTAGTCTCTGTATTTCTCTCTGAATCACATTTATGCTTATTATAGCAATTTAAGAGAAGAAAAAACCAAACTGGTTGTGTTTTTATCCTGAAAATAACTGCAGTAAACCAGAATGAATGTGAAATGTATTTGTTACGTTACAAAGAAAGTCACTACATTTTCCCCATGTTATTATCTTGGAGGTGCTACATAATCCCTGCACTTTGTCCAAAACAGAGTGAAAACATCAGAAATGTGCTTTATACCAGGCCTTGAACATGTAACTTCCTACACTGGTGCCTTCCAAAACCAGTTTCTAATGATCACAATTTAACTGCAGAGAGCACAGCTGTAGCCCTCACAAGGCTCAAATGAACCAACCTGTTAAACTGAAAATTGGTCACTGCAGATAATTACATTGTCATCTTTGACTTTAAAGTCAATATTACCACAAAAAATAGTTAATCCAAAGTTTAATCAATGTCATTCTCTTTTTCCACACTAGCTCTGATATCGGGTAGACCAACATCCCCCAATATTCTTATTATCTTCTGCCCAGACCTCTGGCTAGTCTTATACCACATACACAGTTACATCTTTTTCACTGCAAAACTATCGACACAAAAACTCTTAGAATTTAAAAATGGACATCCTTTAAATGCAAGCTACATGGAAACATCAAAATCTTGCCATACCATGTTGTTCAAATTGTCAAATAACTGTGTGTTTTAAAGCTTCCATCTCTGCTTCTGATAGCGGTAAATTCCCAAATTAAGTACTTTCAACATCCATGCACCTAAGAAAAGAAACCCTCATCCAGCACATAGCCAGACAATAATCATGGAAAAGGATTGGGAATGCTTTCCATCATGATCATAGCAGTGCTAGTTATCCTAAACCATTCCCATTACTGGGAGCAACCAAAAATATCAACCAAAACACATTATGTGTTTGAGTCAAAGGGAAAAAGGTATAAGAAAACAGTAGCTGAGAGCCTTCTGGAATGCAACTCCCTTAAAACATAGAGAGCTTTCAACTGTTTGAACATTCCTCCTCAGCCTCTACTCTGTTTATTAGAAGTCTAATGAGGCTTGAAACAATGAAGCACTTTTTTCTTTTTTTTTTTTTGAACACATGCCACCTACTTCAAAATGTACAAATTTCCAGAATAGACTTGAAATGGACATTTGTCTTGCATCCAGGCTGCCACGTGTCTGCATTTTTGTCACCTACTCAAGATAAATGTCTGAACTAAATATTCTTGGAATTTATTTGTTTGTTTTGTACTAACCAAGTAAAAAGCATTTAAACTTACTTTTACTGTGACAAACCCCCTCACTCACTTGGCAGCCATAAAATATTACAACTTCACATTACTAAAGAAATCATGCAATAAAGTAAATATTTTAATAAATACCTGTTAAAATCAAAGATTCTACTGTCTTTTCCTGTAGCTGTAATTTGAATTTAGAGGAAAATAATCTCCCTGTACCCTTGCTCCCCTTAAAACAGACATAACTATCCTGAAATTTTGATTTGTGTTTATGCAAAGCCAAGTACACCCTGGGAAAAAAAATTATGCATTCAGCCTACATGTCCAGATTAGAGCTAGACCAATGTCAAAACCACTTGAAACATAAAGGGCGAGTATCAGATCCTAAGCACAAAGCATTCCACATTTAAAGATAAGCCTCAACAGGCCCACACCACTTGTCTGTGAAGATACAGTCTCAGGGTACAAAGGCTTCTCCAGGTAAAGCAGAAACAGTGTTTTTAGGGCAAAAGAGGAGGGCAAAGGAAGCAGGAGCCAACTGTAAACACTTTTACTGAGGCCCTCAAACTTTGGAAAGGGGTGGGGAAAAGGCCTAACAGAAAAAACAACCAATGCAAGGAAAAACAAACTAAACATTTGAAACATAATGAATCATCCTGTTTATATTTAATAAGTATGCAAGGAGAAGGTCAGCCACAAGCTGTCAGCTACAACAAGCTTTGAAATGTCCAGTCAATTACATAGTTCATAGCAAAGACAAGGTTCTGACTTAATTATAAAATTAATTACTTCATAAAGGACAACTTCTGGATTCATCAGATGTGCCTTTAAAGGGTTTTCCTTCACAAAGGAATACTGAATGGTGAACTGAAAAGATACAGCATTTCAGAATTTGGTGAGAGAATTCACATATCTGTAATAAAAATGTTTTAAAACTGTGTAAGTCAATAACTTCCTTACAATTCAATTGTTAAATATCAATGTTCAATGACTTCAAAAATGGCTATATCGCAGTCTTTATTTACTATATGACATTTTAAATTTCACTCAAAGTTTTCTGTGTGAATAAAGAAGTCCTTCTGCCTCTTATATCTACTTCAGCATGGAAATTGAAAATCTTTTATAGATTTTTAATCCTCTTAGGTACCACCGAAAGAGGAAGTCCTTAACAAAGTAAGCATTTTAACTAAAAACTTCTGCTTAAAACTGAAAATTGTGTTCTGAAGGGTGTAACAAGCACTGTTCACAATAAAATATATACATATTAAACAATACATGCCAAGAATCATTTTAGCCACCTTATCCCAAAATAAATGAGACAGCTTTCACAGGAAAGAACCCAAGGGGCTAGGTCAAATCTCTCTCATAACAGACAGTAATTAGTAACTGCCTCTCAAAACACCAGGATACATCTACACTAATTGAAGTTGGAGAAGTGAAATAGTCATAAATATTTAATATCACTGTGCTTGTAAAGGAAAGAGGGTATCACACCTTAAAATAAAAATACATCAAAATAACAGTGAACTTCAGATTAGGCCACAGCTGAGTTTTAACTTCACAGATTTTCAACTCGGGGCAGGGATTTGGGTTTTGGTCGGGGTTTGTTGGGGTTTTTTTCCCCCACTTGATTGCAACTGTGCCACCTGTATAATGTTAAAACTGGGTAATCATACTAGAAAAGTATCCTCCATTATCCGAAGAATTTTTTAATATTATGGAAAAACGAAACCATCAAAGACTGCCTGACTCCACTTCAGAAGTGTGAAGCACAACAGCTCTGATAATTTTAGCATTCCTTGGTAGCTTTTGAGGAAAAATTTGTCTGCAGTGTGTAGAAGAAAGGATGAACAGGGAACTCACTTTTTGAAGAAATCCATTCTAAATAATTCTGTTTAAATATACAAACAATTCAGAAACATATGCTTTGTAGTATTAGCATTATATTACCATTGTCAACACCTCCAATCTATGTCAATAAAAAAACAGTTCCAGGAAGAACATCACTGTGCTATTTCAGGAAATCAAACCAGATCAGGTATTGTCCATTACATTTTACAAACACCTGAATTAATTGAACTCGGTGTTTTAACAATTGTAAAAAGGCTTACCAAATACAGTCAAGATATACTTGCCATTACTTCTTCTTTTATACAGACGCAAGTTATTTGCAGTTTTTGGGGGGTAGGTTTTTTTGTTTCGTAGTATTAACAAAAAAAGGGATGTTGTTTTGGCCAGTTACTGATTTTTTTAGGAAGTGGTTTATATAATTTTTTTTAAAATACCACTGCAGAAAATGGGGTAAATGAAGGCAATAACCCCGAACTGCGGAGGTTGTAAGGAGCACAGCACATGTGCAGGTGTGGCTGCGGATAAGCCCCGCGGGTTCCCGACACTCGGCTCCTGCAGCGCACCGAGAGCGCTCCCAGGAACCGAGTCCCAGAGACACGACGGTGGGTGTGTGTATAAAGATAACGGCTGTAAAACCGTGAAATATTGGGGATTCGACTTCTCAGGCCGCTTCACTTCCATAATTCCCACCACCACTCCTTGCGGCGGCAGGAATGAGCTAAGATCGGCGGAGGAAAACTTCTACAGAGCGCAGCTTGAGGGCAGCTTACCCAGAGCAGACCCGGCTTGCCGGGGCTTGCAGCGGGCAGTCCCCGCTCAGCAGGGCGGCGCTCCCCGCGTGTGGGCCGCGCCCCTCACGGCCGGGGGGCCGCTCTCCGCCGGGAGGCGGCGGCAAAGGCGAGAGGACGAGGGCAGGAGAGCAGAACAGGAGAACACAGCAGGAGGAGCGGCGGGGGG